GAGTAACATGTGGACGTGAAAAGCGGTGAGCGTGGCCTTGTGGTCTAGTGGTATGATTCTCGCTTAGGGTGCGAGAGGTCCCGGATTCGATCTCCGGCAAGGCCCAGCCTGTCACCGATCATGCGGGAAGAGTGTTTGCATCTCACTTCATGGCTTCTGGACAACAGTAAATGATCTTTCTTGCACAACAGAGGACAGGGACAAGTTTAAACCGAAGCCGTTGCTGTGTGCGAGAAAGCGAGCACTCTAACACGATCGATGGACGTAACGGCTAACAAAGCACCGCGGTGGTTTGAAAAGAATCTTCAGCGTCGATAAAGCGCCAATACGATGCGTTTGCATTCGACACTGCAATAATAGCACTTGTGTGTGGGTGCATGCAGCGCGTGCAGTCGGCGGAACATGTGGACGTGAAAAGCGGTGAGCGTGGCCTTGTGGTCTAGTGGTATGATTCTCGCTTAGGGTGCGAGAGGTCCCGGATTCGATCTCCGGCAAGGCCCAGCCTGTCACCGATCATGCGGGGAAGAGTGTTTGCATCTCACTTCATGGCTTCTGGACAACAGTAAATGATCTTTCTTGCACAACAGAGGACAGGGACAAGTATAAACCGAAGCCGTTGCTGTGTGCGAGAAAGCGAGCACTCTAACACGATCGATGGACGTAACGGCTAACAAAGCACCGCGGTGGTTTGAAAAGAGTCGTTAGCGTCGATAAAGTGCCAATACGATGCGTTTGCATTCGACACTGCAATAATAGCACTTGTGTGTGGGTGCATGCAGCGCGTGCAGTCGGCGGAACATGTGGACGTGAAAAGCGGTGAGCGTGGCCTTGTGGTCTAGTGGTATGATTCTCGCTTAGGGTGCGAGAGGTCCCGGATTCGATCTCCGGCAAGGCCCAGCCTGTCACCGATCATGCGGGAAGAGTGTTTGCATCTCACTTCATGGCTTCTGGACAACAGTAAATGATCTTTCTTGCACAACAGAGGACAGGGACAAGTTTAAACCGAAGCCGTTGCTGTGTGCGAGAAAGCGAGCACTCTAACACGATCGATGGACGTAACGGCTAACAAAGCACCGCGGTGGTTTGAAAAGAATCTTCAGCGTCGATAAAGCGCCAATACGATGCGTTTGCATTCGACACTGCAATAATAGCACTTGTGTGTGGGTGCATGCAGCGCGTGCAGTCGGCGGAACATGTGGACGTGAAAAGCGGTGAGCGTGGCCTTGTGGTCTAGTGGTATGATTCTCGCTTAGGGTGCGAGAGGTCCCGGATTCGATCTCCGGCAAGGCCCAGCCTGTCACCGATCATGCGGGAAGAGTGTTTGCATCTCACTTCATGGCTTCTGGACAACAGTAAATGATCTTTCTTGCACAACAGAGGACAGGGACAAGTTTAAACCGAAGCCGTTGCTGTGTGCGAGAAAGCGAGCACTCTAACACGATCGATGGACGTAACGGCTAACAAAGCACCGCGGTGGTTTGAAAAGAAGTCGTCAGCGTCGATAAAGCGCCAATACGATGCGTTTGCATTCGACACTGCAATAATAGCACTTGTGTGTGGGTGCATGCAGCGCGTGCAGTCGGCGGAACATGTGGACGTGAAAAGCGGTGAGCGTGGCCTTGTGGTCTAGTGGTATGATTCTCGCTTAGGGTGCGAGAGGTCCCGGATTCGATCTCCGGCAAGGCCCAGCCTGTCACCGATCATGCGGGAAGAGTGTTTGCATCTCACTTCATGGCTTCTGGACAACAGTAAATGATCTTTCTTGCACAACAGAGGACAGGGACAAGTTTAAACCGAAGCCGTTGCTGTGTGCGAGAAAGCGAGCACTCTAACACGATCGATGGACGTAACGGCTAACAAAGCACCGCGGTGGTTTGAAAAGAATCTTCAGCGTCGATAAAGCGCCAATACGATGCGTTTGCATTCGACACTGCAATAATAGCACTTGTGTGTGGGTGCATGCAGCGCGTGCAGTCGGCGGAACATGTGGACGTGAAAAGCGGTGAGCGTGGCCTTGTGGTCTAGTGGTATGATTCTCGCTTAGGGTGCGAGAGGTCCCGGATTCGATCTCCGGCAAGGCCCAGCCTGTCACCGATCATGCGGGAAGAGTGTTTGCATCTCACTTCATGGCTTCTGGACAACAGTAAATGATCTTTCTTGCACAACAGAGGACAGGGACAAGTTTAAACCGAAGCCGTTGCTGTGTGCGAGAAAGCGAGCACTCTAACACGATCGATGGACGTAACGGCTAACAAAGCACCGCGGTGGTTTGAAAAGAAGTCTTCAGCGTCGATAAAGCGCCAATACGATGCGTTTGCATTCGACACTGCAATAATAGCACTTGTGTGTGGGTGCATGCAGCGCGTGCAGTCGGCGGAACATGTGGACGTGAAAAGCGGTGAGCGTGGCCTTGTGGTCTAGTGGTATGATTCTCGCTTAGGGTGCGAGAGGTCCCGGATTCGATCTCCGGCAAGGCCCAGCCTGTCACCGATCATGCGGGAAGAGTGTTTGCATCTCACTTCATGGCTTCTGGACAACAGTAAATGATCTTTCTTGCACAACAGAGGACAGGGACAAGTTTAAACCGAAGCCGTTGCTGTGTGCGAGAAAGCGAGCACTCTAACACGATCGATGGACGTAACGGCTAACAAAGCACCGCGGTGGTTTGAAAAGAAGTCTTCAGCGTCGATAAAGCGCCAATACGATGCGTTTGCATTCGACACTGCAATAATAGCACTTGTGTGTGGGTGCATGCAGCGCGTGCAGTCGGCGGAACATGTGGACGTGAAAAGCGGTGAGCGTGGCCTTGTGGTCTAGTGGTATGATTCTCGCTTAGGGTGCGAGAGGTCCCGGATTCGATCTCCGGCAAGGCCCAGCCTGTCACCGATCATGCGGGAAGAGTGTTTGCATCTCACTTCATGGCTTCTGGACAACAGTAAATGATCTTTCTTGCACAACAGAGGACAGGGACAAGTTTAAACCGAAGCCGTTGCTGTGTGCGAGAAAGCGAGCACTCTAACACGATCGATGGACGTAACGGCTAACAAAGCACCGCGGTGGTTTGAAAAGAATCTTCAGCGTCGATAAAGCGCCAATACGATGCGTTTGCATTCGACACTGCAATAATAGCACTTGTGTGTGGGTGCATGCAGCGCGTGCAGTCGGCGGAACATGTGGACGTGAAAAGCGGTGAGCGTGGCCTTGTGGTCTAGTGGTATGATTCTCGCTTAGGGTGCGAGAGGTCCCGGATTCGATCTCCGGCAAGGCCCAGCCTGTCACCGATCATGCGGGAAGAGTGTTTGCATCTCACTTCATGGCTTCTGGACAACAGTAAATGATCTTTCTTGCACAACAGAGGACAGGGACAAGTTTAAACCGAAGCCGTTGCTGTGTGCGAGAAAGCGAGCACTCTAACACGATCGATGGACGTAACGGCTAACAAAGCACCGCGGTGGTTTGAAAAGAATCTTCAGCGTCGATAAAGCGCCAATACGATGCGTTTGCATTCGACACTGCAATAATAGCACTTGTGTGTGGGTGCATGCAGCGCGTGCAGTCGGCGGAACATGTGGACGTGAAAAGCGGTGAGCGTGGCCTTGTGGTCTAGTGGTATGATTCTCGCTTAGGGTGCGAGAGGTCCCGGATTCGATCTCCGGCAAGGCCCAGCCTGTCACCGATCATGCGGGAAGAGTGTTTGCATCTCACTTCATGGCTTCTGGACAACAGTAAATGATCTTTCTTGCACAACAGAGGACAGGGACAAGTTTAAACCGAAGCCGTTGCTGTGTGCGAGAAAGCGAGCACTCTAACACGATCGATGGACGTAACGGCTAACAAAGCACCGCGGTGGTTTGAAAAGAATCTTCAGCGTCGATAAAGCGCCAATACGATGCGTTTGCATTCGACACTGCAATAATAGCACTTGTGTGTGGGTGCATGCAGCGCGTGCAGTCGGCGGAACATGTGGACGTGAAAAGCGGTGAGCGTGGCCTTGTGGTCTAGTGGTATGATTCTCGCTTAGGGTGCGAGAGGTCCCGGATTCGATCTCCGGCAAGGCCCAGCCTGTCACCGATCATGCGGGAAGAGTGTTTGCATCTCACTTCATGGCTTCTGGACAACAGTAAATGATCTTTCTTGCACAACAGAGGACAGGGACAAGTTTAAACCGAAGCCGTTGCTGTGTGCGAGAAAGCGAGCACTCTAACACGATCGATGGACGTAACGGCTAACAAAGCACCGCGGTGGTTTGAAAAGTCGTCAGCGTCGATAAAGCGCCAATACGATGCGTTTGCATTCGACACTGCAATAATAGCACTTGTGTGTGGGTGCATGCAGCGCGTGCAGTCGGCGGAACATGTGGACGTGAAAAGCGGTGAGCGTGGCCTTGTGGTCTAGTGGTATGATTCTCGCTTAGGGTGCGAGAGGTCCCGGATTCGATCTCCGGCAAGGCCCAGCCTGTCACCGATCATGCGGGAAGAGTGTTTGCATCTCACTTCATGGCTTCTGGACAACAGTAAATGATCTTTCTTGCACAACAGAGGACAGGGACAAGTTTAAACCGAAGCCGTTGCTGTGTGCGAGAAAGCGAGCACTCTAACACGATCGATGGACGTAACGGCTAACAAAGCACCGCGGTGGTTTGAAAAGAATCTTCAGCGTCGATAAAGCGCCAATACGATGCGTTTGCATTCGACACTGCAATAATAGCACTTGTGTGTGGGTGCATGCAGCGCGTGCAGTCGGCGGAACATGTGGACGTGAAAAGCGGTGAGCGTGGCCTTGTGGTCTAGTGGTATGATTCTCGCTTAGGGTGCGAGAGGTCCCGGATTCGATCTCCGGCAAGGCCCAGCCTGTCACCGATCATGCGGGAAGAGTGTTTGCATCTCACTTCATGGCTTCTGGACAACAGTAAATGATCTTTCTTGCACAACAGAGGACAGGGACAAGTTTAAACCGAAGCTGTTGCTGTGTGCGAGAAAGCGAGCACTCTAACACGATCGATGGACGTAACGGCTAACAAAGCACCGCGGTGGTTTGAAAAGAAGTCTTCAGCGTCGATAAAGCGCCAATACGATGCGTTTGCATTCGACACTGCAATAATAGCACTTGTGTGTGGGTGCATGCAGCGCGTGCAGTCGGCGGAACATGTGGACGTGAAAAGCGGTGAGCGTGGCCTTGTGGTCTAGTGGTATGATTCTCGCTTAGGGTGCGAGAGGTCCCGGATTCGATCTCCGGCAAGGCCCAGCCTGTCACCGATCATGCGGGAAGAGTGTTTGCATCTCACTTCATGGCTTCTGGACAACAGTAAATGATCTTTCTTGCACAACAGAGGACAGGGACAAGTTTAAACCGAAGCTGTTGCTGTGTGCGAGAAAGCGAGCACTCTAACACGATCGATGGACGTAACGGCTAACAAAGCACCGCGGTGGTTTGAAAAGAATCGTCAGCGTCGATAAAGCGCCAATACGATGCGTTTGCATTCGACACTGCAATAATAGCACTTGTGTGTGGGTGCATGCAGCGCGTGCAGTCGGCGGAACATGTGGACGTGAAAAGCGGTGAGCGTGGCCTTGTGGTCTAGTGGTATGATTCTCGCTTAGGGTGCGAGAGGTCCCGGATTCGATCTCCGGCAAGGCCCAGCCTGTCACCGATCATGCGGGAAGAGTGTTTGCATCTCACTTCATGGCTTCTGGACAACAGTAAATGATCTTTCTTGCACAACAGAGGACAGGGACAAGTTTAAACCGAAGCTGTTGCTGTGTGCGAGAAAGCGAGCACTCTAACACGATCGATGGACGTAACGGCTAACAAAGCACCGCGGTGGTTTGAAAGAGAATCTTCAGCGTCGATAAAGCGCCAATACGATGCGTTTGCATTCGACACTGCAATAATAGCACTTGTGTGTGGGTGCATGCAGCGCGTGCAGTCGGCGGAACATGTGGACGTGAAAAGCGGTGAGCGTGGCCTTGTGGTCTAGTGGTATGATTCTCGCTTAGGGTGCGAGAGGTCCCGGATTCGATCTCCGGCAAGGCCCAGCCTGTCACCGATCATGCGGGAAGAGTGTTTGCATCTCACTTCATGGCTTCTGGACAACAGTAAATGATCTTTCTTGCACAACAGAGGACAGGGACAAGTTTAAACCGAAGCCGTTGCTGTGTGCGAGAAAGCGAGCACTCTAACACGATCGATGGACGTAACGGCTAACAAAGCACCGCGGTGGTTTGAAAAGAATCTTCAGCGTCGATAAAGCGCCAATACGATGCGTTTGCATTCGACACTGCAATAATAGCACTTGTGTGTGGGTGCATGCAGCGCGTGCAGTCGGCGGAACATGTGGACGTGAAAAGCGGTGAGCGTGGCCTTGTGGTCTAGTGGTATGATTCTCGCTTAGGGTGCGAGAGGTCCCGGATTCGATCTCCGGCAAGGCCCAGCCTGTCACCGATCATGCGGGAAGAGTGTTTGCATCTCACTTCATGGCTTCTGGACAACAGTAAATGATCTTTCTTGCACAACAGAGGACAGGGACAAGTATAAACCGAAGCTGTTGCTGTGTGCGAGAAAGCGAGCACTCTAACACGATCGATGGACGTAACGGCTAACAAAGCACCGCGGTGGTTTGAAAAGAGTCGTTAGCGTCGATAAAGCGCCAATACGATGCGTTTGCATTCGACACTGCAATAATAGCACTTGTGTGTGGGTGCATGCAGCGCGTGCAGTCGGCGGAACATGTGGACGTGAAAAGCGGTGAGCGTGGCCTTGTGGTCTAGTGGTATGATTCTCGCTTAGGGTGCGAGAGGTCCCGGATTCGATCTCCGGCAAGGCCCAGCCTGTCACCGATCATGCGGGAAGAGTGTTTGCATCTCACTTCATGGCTTCTGGACAACAGTAAATGATCTTTCTTGCACAACAGAGGACAGGGACAAGTTTAAACCGAAGCTGTTGCTGTGTGCGAGAAAGCGAGCACTCTAACACGATCGATGGACGTAACGGCTAACAAAGCACCGCGGTGGTTTGAAAAGAAGTCGTCAGCGTCGATAAAGCGCCAATACGATGCGTTTGCATTCGACACTGCAATAATAGCACTTGTGTGTGGGTGCATGCAGCGCGTGCAGTCGGCGGAACATGTGGACGTGAAAAGCGGTGAGCGTGGCCTTGTGGTCTAGTGGTATGATTCTCGCTTAGGGTGCGAGAGGTCCCGGATTCGATCTCCGGCAAGGCCCAGCCTGTCACCGATCATGCGGGAAGAGTGTTTGCATCTCACTTCATGGCTTCTGGACAACAGTAAATGATCTTTCTTGCACAACAGAGGACAGGGACAAGTTTAAACCGAAGCCGTTGCTGTGTGCGAGAAAGCGAGCACTCTAACACGATCGATGGACGTAACGGCTAACAAAGCACCGCGGTGGTTTGAAAAGAATCTTCAGCGTCGATAAAGCGCCAATACGATGCGTTTGCATTCGACACTGCAATAATAGCACTTGTGTGTGGGTGCATGCAGCGCGTGCAGTCGGCGGAACATGTGGACGTGAAAAGCGGTGAGCGTGGCCTTGTGGTCTAGTGGTATGATTCTCGCTTAGGGTGCGAGAGGTCCCGGATTCGATCTCCGGCAAGGCCCAGCCTGTCACCGATCATGCGGGAAGAGTGTTTGCATCTCACTTCATGGCTTCTGGACAACAGTAAATGATCTTTCTTGCACAACAGAGGACCAGGGACAAGTTTAAACCGAAGCTGTTGCTGTGTGCGAGAAAGCGAGCACTCTAACACGATCGATGGACGTAACGGCTAACAAAGCACCGCGGTGGTTTGAAAAGAATCTTCAGCGTCGATAAAGCGCCAATACGATGCGTTTGCATTCGACACTGCAATAATAGCACTTGTGTGTGGGTGCATGCAGCGCGTGCAGTCGGCGGAACATGTGGACGTGAAAAGCGGTGAGCGTGGCCTTGTGGTCTAGTGGTATGATTCTCGCTTAGGGTGCGAGAGGTCCCGGATTCGATCTCCGGCAAGGCCCAGCCTGTCACCGATCATGCGGGAAGAGTGTTTGCATCTCACTTCATGGCTTCTGGACAACAGTAAATGATCTTTCTTGCACAACAGAGGACCGGGACAAGTTTAAACCGAAGCTGTTGCTGTGTGCGAGAAAGCGAGCACTCTAACACGATCGATGGACGTAACGGCTAACAAAGCACCGCGGTGGTTTGAAAAGAATCTTCAGCGTCGATAAAGCGCCAATACGATGCGTTTGCATTCGACACTGCAATAATAGCACTTGTGTGTGGGTGCATGCAGCGCGTGCAGTCGGCGGAACATGTGGACGTGAAAAGCGGTGAGCGTGGCCTTGTGGTCTAGTGGTATGATTCTCGCTTAGGGTGCGAGAGGTCCCGGATTCGATCTCCGGCAAGGCCCAGCCTGTCACCGATCATGCGGGAAGAGTGTTTGCATCTCACTTCATGGCTTCTGGACAACAGTAAATGATCTTTCTTGCACAACAGAGGACAGGGACAAGTTTAAACCGAAGCTGTTGCTGTGTGCGAGAAAGCGAGCACTCTAACACGATCGATGGACGTAACGGCTAACAAAGCACCGCGGTGGTTTGAAAAGAATCTTCAGCGTCGATAAAGCGCCAATACGATGCGTTTGCATTCGACACTGCAATAATAGCACTTGTGTGTGGGTGCATGCAGCGCGTGCAGTCGGCGGAACATGTGGACGTGAAAAGCGGTGAGCGTGGCCTTGTGGTCTAGTGGTATGATTCTCGCTTAGGGTGCGAGAGGTCCCGGATTCGATCTCCGGCAAGGCCCAGCCTGTCACCGATCATGCGGGAAGAGTGTTTGCATCTCACTTCATGGCTTCTGGACAACAGTAAATGATCTTTCTTGCACAACAGAGGACAGGGACAAGTATAAACCGAAGCTGTTGCTGTGTGCGAGAAAGCGAGCACTCTAACACGATCGATGGACGTAACGGCTAACAAAGCACCGCGGTGGTTTGAAAAGAATCGTCAGCGTCGATAAAGCGCCAATACGATGCGTTTGCATTCGACACTGCAATAATAGCACTTGTGTGTGGGTGCATGCAGCGCGTGCAGTCGGCGGAACATGTGGACGTGAAAAGCGGTGAGCGTGGCCTTGTGGTCTAGTGGTATGATTCTCGCTTAGGGTGCGAGAGGTCCCGGATTCGATCTCCGGCAAGGCCCAGCCTGTCACCGATCATGCGGGAAGAGTGTTTGCATCTCACTTCATGGCTTCTGGACAACAGTAAATGATCTTTCTTGCACAACAGAGGACAGGGACAAGTATAAACCGAAGCTGTTGCTGTGTGCGAGAAAGCGAGCACTCTAACACGATCGATGGACGTAACGGCTAACAAAGCACCGCGGTGGTTTGAAAAGAATCTTCAGCGTCGATAAAGCGCCAATACGATGCGTTTGCATTCGACACTGCAATAATAGCACTTGTGTGTGGGTGCATGCAGCGCGTGCAGTCGGCGGAACATGTGGACGTGAAAAGCGGTGAGCGTGGCCTTGTGGTCTAGTGGTATGATTCTCGCTTAGGGTGCGAGAGGTCCCGGATTCGATCTCCGGCAAGGCCCAGCCTGTCACCGATCATGCGGGAAGAGTGTTTGCATCTCACTTCATGGCTTCTGGACAACAGTAAATGATCTTTCTTGCACAACAGAGGACCGGGACAAGTTTAAACCGAAGCTGTTGCTGTGTGCGAGAAAGCGAGCACTCTAACACGATCGATGGACGTAACGGCTAACAAAGCACCGCGGTGGTTTGAAAAGAGTCGTTAGCGTCGATAAAGCGCCAATACGATGCGTTTGCATTCGACACTGCAATAATAGCACTTGTGTGTGGGTGCATGCAGCGCGTGCAGTCGGCGGAACATGTGGACGTGAAAAGCGGTGAGCGTGGCCTTGTGGTCTAGTGGTATGATTCTCGCTTAGGGTGCGAGAGGTCCCGGATTCGATCTCCGGCAAGGCCCAGCCTGTCACCGATCATGCGGGAAGAGTGTTTGCATCTCACTTCATGGCTTCTGGACAACAGTAAATGATCTTTCTTGCACAACAGAGGACAGGGACAAGTTTAAACCGAAGCCGTTGCTGTGTGCGAGAAAGCGAGCACTCTAACACGATCGATGGACGTAACGGCTAACAAAGCACCGCGGTGGTTTGAAAAGAAGTCGTCAGCGTCGATAAAGCGCCAATACGATGCGTTTGCATTCGACACTGCAATAATAGCACTTGTGTGTGGGTGCATGCAGCGCGTGCAGTCGGCGGAACATGTGGACGTGAAAAGCGGTGAGCGTGGCCTTGTGGTCTAGTGGTATGATTCTCGCTTAGGGTGCGAGAGGTCCCGGATTCGATCTCCGGCAAGGCCCAGCCTGTCACCGATCATGCGGGAAGAGTGTTTGCATCTCACTTCATGGCTTCTGGACAACAGTAAATGATCTTTCTTGCACAACAGAGGACCGGGACAAGTTTAAACCGAAGCTGTTGCTGTGTGCGAGAAAGCGAGCACTCTAACACGATCGATGGACGTAACGGCTAACAAAGCACCGCGGTGGTTTGAAAAGAAGTCGTCAGCGTCGATAAAGTGCCAATACGATGCGTTTGCATTCGACACTGCAATAATAGCACTTGTGTGTGGGTGCATGCAGCGCGTGCAGTCGGCGGAACATGTGGACGTGAAAAGCGGTGAGCGTGGCCTTGTGGTCTAGTGGTATGATTCTCGCTTAGGGTGCGAGAGGTCCCGGATTCGATCTCCGGCAAGGCCCAGCCTGTCACCGATCATGCGGGAAGAGTGTTTGCATCTCACTTCATGGCTTCTGGACAACAGTAAATGATCTTTCTTGCACAACAGAGGACAGGGACAAGTTTAAACCGAAGCTGTTGCTGTGTGCGAGAAAGCGAGCACTCTAACACGATCGATGGACGTAACGGCTAACAAAGCACCGCGGTGGTTTGAAAAGAATCTTCAGCGTCGATAAAGCGCCAATACGATGCGTTTGCATTCGACACTGCAATAATAGCACTTGTGTGTGGGTGCATGCAGCGCGTGCAGTCGGCGGAACATGTGGACGTGAAAAGCGGTGAGCGTGGCCTTGTGGTCTAGTGGTATGATTCTCGCTTAGGGTGCGAGAGGTCCCGGATTCGATCTCCGGCAAGGCCCAGCCTGTCACCGATCATGCGGGAAGAGTGTTTGCATCTCACTTCATGGCTTCTGGACAACAGTAAATGATCTTTCTTGCACAACAGAGGACAGGGACAAGTTTAAACCGAAGCTGTTGCTGTGTGCGAGAAAGCGAGCACTCTAACACGATCGATGGACGTAACGGCTAACAAAGCACCGCGGTGGTTTGAAAAGAATCTTCAGCGTCGATAAAGCGCCAATACGATGCGTTTGCATTCGACACTGCAATAATAGCACTTGTGTGTGGGTGCATGCAGCGCGTGCAGTCGGCGGAACATGTGGACGTGAAAAGCGGTGAGCGTGGCCTTGTGGTCTAGTGGTATGATTCTCGCTTAGGGTGCGAGAGGTCCCGGATTCGATCTCCGGCAAGGCCCAGCCTGTCACCGATCATGCGGGAAGAGTGTTTGCATCTCACTTCATGGCTTCTGGACAACAGTAAATGATCTTTCTTGCACAACAGAGGACCGGGACAAGTTTAAACCGAAGCTGTTGCTGTGTGCGAGAAAGCGAGCACTCTAACACGATCGATGGACGTAACGGCTAACAAAGCACCGCGGTGGTTTGAAAAGAGTCGTTCAGCGTCGATAAAGCGCCAATACGATGCGTTTGCATTCGACACTGCAATAATAGCACTTGTGTGTGGGTGCATGCAGCGCGTGCAGTCGGCGGAACATGTGGACGTGAAAAGCGGTGAGCGTGGCCTTGTGGTCTAGTGGTATGATTCTCGCTTAGGGTGCGAGAGGTCCCGGATTCGATCTCCGGCAAGGCCCAGCCTGTCGCCGATCATGCGGGAAGAGTGTTTGCATCTCACTTCATGGCTTCTGGACAACAGTAAATGATCTTTCTTGCACAACAGAGGACAGGGACAAGTTTAAACCGAAGCTGTTGCTGTGCGAGAGGAAGCGAGCACTCTAACACGATCGATGGACGTAACGGCTTACAAAAGCACCGCAATGGTTTGAAAAGAGTCGTCAGCTTCGGAAAAGTGACAATACGATGCGTTTGCATTCGACACTGCAATAATAGCACTTGTGTGTGGGTGCATGCAGCGCGTGCAGTCGGCGGAACATGTGGACGTGAAAAGCGGTGAGCGTGGCCTTGTGGTCTAGTGGTATGATTCTCGCTTAGGGTGCGAGAGGTCCCGGATTCGATCTCCGGCAAGGCCCAGCCTGTCACCGATCATGCGGGAAGAGTGTTTGCATCTCACTTCATGGCTTCTGGACAACAGTAAATGATCTTTCTTGCACAACAGAGGACAGGGACAAGTTTAAACCGAAGCTGTTGCTGTGTGCGAGAAAGCGAGCACTCTAACACGATCGATGGACGTAACGGCTAACAAAGCACCGCGGTGGTTTGAAAAGAAGTCGTCAGCGTCGATAAAGCGCCAATACGATGCGTTTGCATTCGACACTGCAATAATAGCACTTGTGTGTGGGTGCATGCAGCGCGTGCAGTCGGCGGAACATGTGGACGTGAAAAGCGGTGAGCGTGGCCTTGTGGTCTAGTGGTATGATTCTCGCTTAGGGTGCGAGAGGTCCCGGATTCGATCTCCGGCAAGGCCCAGCCTGTCACCGATCATGCGGGAAGAGTGTTTGCATCTCACTTCATGGCTTCTGGACAACAGTAAATGATCTTTCTTGCACAACAGAGGACCGGGACAAGTTTAAACCGAAGCTGTTGCTGTGTGCGAGAAAGCGAGCACTCTAACACGATCGATGGACGTAACGGCTAACAAAGCACCGCGGTGGTTTGAAAAGAAGTCGTCAGCGTCGATAAAGCGCCAATACGATGCGTTTGCATTCGACACTGCAATAATAGCACTTGTGTGTGGGTGCATGCAGCGCGTGCAGTCGGCGGAACATGTGGACGTGAAAAGCGGTGAGCGTGGCCTTGTGGTCTAGTGGTATGATTCTCGCTTAGGGTGCGAGAGGTCCCGGATTCGATCTCCGGCAAGGCCCAGCCTGTCACCGATCATGCGGGAAGAGTGTTTGCATCTCACTTCATGGCTTCTGGACAACAGTAAATGATCTTTCTTGCACAACAGAGGACCGGGACAAGTTTAAACCGAAGCTGTTGCTGTGTGCGAGAAAGCGAGCACTCTAACACGATCGATGGACGTAACGGCTAACAAAGCACCGCGGTGGTTTGAAAAGAATCTTCAGCGTCGATAAAGTGCCAATACGATGCGTTTGCATTCGACACTGCAATAATAGCACTTGTGTGTGGGTGCATGCAGCGCGTGCAGTCGGCGGAACATGTGGACGTGAAAAGCGGTGAGCGTGGCCTTGTGGTCTAGTGGTATGATTCTCGCTTAGGGTGCGAGAGGTCCCGGATTCGATCTCCGGCAAGGCCCAGCCTGTCACCGATCATGCGGGAAGAGTGTTTGCATCTCACTTCATGGCTTCTGGACAACAGTAAATGATCTTTCTTGCACAACAGAGGACCGGGACAAGTTTAAACCGAAGCTGTTGCTGTGTGCGAGAAAGCGAGCACTCTAACACGATCGATGGACGTAACGGCTAACAAAGCACCGCGGTGGTTTGAAAAGAAGTCGTCAGCGTCGATAAAGCGCCAATACGATGCGTTTGCATTCGACACTGCAATAATAGCACTTGTGTGTGGGTGCATGCAGCGCGTGCAGTCGGCGGAACATGTGGACGTGAAAAGCGGTGAGCGTGGCCTTGTGGTCTAGTGGTATGATTCTCGCTTAGGGTGCGAGAGGTCCCGGATTCGATCTCCGGCAAGGCCCAGCCTGTCACCGATCATGCGGGAAGAGTGTTTGCATCTCACTTCATGGCTTCTGGACAACAGTAAATGATCTTTCTTGCACAACAGAGGACCGGGACAAGTATAAACCGAAGCTGTTGCTGTGTGCGAGGAAGCGAGCACTCTAACACGATCGATGGACATAACGGCTAACAAAGCACCGCGGTGGTTTGAAAAGAGTCGTCAGCGTCGATAAAGCGCCAATACGATGCGTTTGCATTCGACACTGCAATAATAGCACTTGTGTGTGGGTGCATGCAGCGCGTGCAGTCGGCGGAACATGTGGACGTGAAAAGCGGTGAGCGTGGCCTTGTGGTCTAGTGGTATGATTCTCGCTTAGGGTGCGAGAGGTCCCGGATTCGATCTCCGGCAAGGCCCAGCCTGTCACCGATCATGCGGGAAGAGTGTTTGCATCTCACTTCATGGCTTCTGGACAACAGTAAATGATCTTTCTTGCACAACAGAGGACAGGGACAAGTATAAACCGAAGCTGTTGCTGTGTGCGAGAAAGCGAGCACTCTAACACGATCGATGGACGTAACGGCTAACAAAGCACCGCGGTGGTTTGAAAAGAGTCGTTAGCGTCGATAAAGCGCCAATACGATGCGTTTGCATTCGACACTGCAATAATAGCACTTGTGTGTGGGTGCATGCAGCGCGTGCAGTCGGCGGAACATGTGGACGTGAAAAGCGGTGAGCGTGGCCTTGTGGTCTAGTGGTATGATTCTCGCTTAGGGTGCGAGAGGTCCCGGATTCGATCTCCGGCAAGGCCCAGCCTGTCACCGATCATGCGGGAAGAGTGTTTGCATCTCACTTCATGGCTTCTGGACAACAGTAAATGATCTTTCTTGCACAACAGAGGACCGGGACAAGTTTAAACCGAAGCTGTTGCTGTGTGCGAGGAAGCGAGCACTCTAACACGATCGATGGACGTAACGGCTAACAAAGCACCGCAGTGGTTTGAAAAGAAGTCGTCAGCGTCGATAAAGTGCCAATACGATGCGTTTGCATTCGACACTGCAATAATAGCACTTGTGTGTGGGTGCATGCAGCGCGTGCAGTCGGCGGAACATGTGGACGTGAAAAGCGGTGAGCGTGGCCTTGTGGTCTAGTGGTATGATTCTCGCTTAGGGTGCGAGAGGTCCCGGATTCGATCTCCGGCAAGGCCCAGCCTGTCACCGATCATGCGGGAAGAGTGTTTGCATCTCACTTCATGGCTTCTGGACAACAGTAAATGATCTTTCTTGCACAACAGAGGACCGGGACAAGTTTAAACCGAAGCCGTTGCTGTGTGCGAGAAAGCGAGCACTCTAACACGATCGATGGACGTAACGGCTAACAAAGCACCGCGGTGGTTTGAAAAGAGTCGTTAGCGTCGATAAAGTGCCAATACGATGCGTTTGCATTCGACACTGCAATAATAGCACTTGTGTGTGGGTGCATGCAGCGCGTGCAGTCGGCGGAACATGTGGACGTGAAAAGCGGTGAGCGTGGCCTTGTGGTCTAGTGGTATGATTCTCGCTTAGGGTGCGAGAGGTCCCGGATTCGATCTCCGGCAAGGCCCAGCCTGTCACCGATCATGCGGGAAGAGTGTTTGCATCTCACTTCATGGCTTCTGGACAACAGTAAATGATCTTTCTTGCACAACAGAGGACCGGGACAAGTTTAAACCGAAGCTGTTGCTGTGCGTGAGAAAGCGAGCACTCCAACACGATCGATGGACATAACGGCTAACAAAGCACCGCGGTGGTTTGAAAAGAATCTTCAGCGTCGATAAAGCGCCAATACGATGCGTTTGCATTCGACACTGCAATAATAGCACTTGTGTGTGGGTGCATGCAGCGCGTGCAGTCGGCGGAACATGTGGACGTGAAAAGCGGTGAGCGTGGCCTTGTGGTCTAGTGGTATGATTCTCGCTTAGGGTGCGAGAGGTCCCGGATTCGATCTCCGGCAAGGCCCAGCCTGTCACCGATCATGCGGGAAGAGTGTTTGCATCTCACTTCATGGCTTCTGGACAACAGTAAATGATCTTTCTTGCACAACAGAGGACCGGGACAAGTTTAAACCGAAGCTGTTGCTGTGCGCGAGAAAGCGAGCACTCCAACACGATCGATGGACGTAACGGCTTACAAAGCACCGCAATGGTTTGAAAGAAGTCGTCAGCGTCGAAAAAGCGCCAATACGATGCGTTTGCATTCGACACTGCAATAATAGCACTTGTGTGTGGGTGCATGCAGCGCGTGCAGTCGGCGGAACATGTGGACGTGAAAAGCGGTGAGCGTGGCCTTGTGGTCTAGTGGTATGATTCTCGCTTAGGGTGCGAGAGGTCCCGGATTCGATCTCCGGCAAGGCCCAGCCTGTCACCGATCATGCGGGAAGAGTGTTTGCATCTCACTTCATGGCTTCTGGACAACAGTAAATGATCTTTCTTGCACAACAGAGGACCGGGACAAGTTTAAACCGAAGCTGTTGCTGTGCGCGAGAAAGCGAGCACTCTAACACGATCGATGGACGTAACGGCTAACAAAGCACCGCGGTGGTTTGAAAAGAGTCGTTAGCGTCGATAAAGTGCCAATACGATGCGTTTGCATTCGACACTGCAATAATAGCACTTGTGTGTGGGTGCATGCAGCGCGTGCAGTCGGCGGAACATGTGGACGTGAAAAGCGGTGAGCGTGGCCTTGTGGTCTAGTGGTATGATTCTCGCTTAGGGTGCGAGAGGTCCCGGATTCGATCTCCGGCAAGGCCCAGCCTGTCGCCGATCATGCGGGAAGAGTGTTTGCATCTCACTTCATGGCTTCTGGACAACAGTAAATGATCTTTCTTGCACAACAGAGGACCGGGACAAGTTTAAATCGAAGCTGTTGCTGTGTGCGAGGAAGCGAGCACTCTAACACGATCGATGGACGTAACGGCTAACAAAGCACCGCAGTGGTTTGAAAAGAGTCGTCAGCGTCGATAAAGTGACAATACGATGCGTTTGCATTCGACACTGCAATAATAGCACTTGTGTGTGGGTGCATGCAGCGCGTGCAGTCGGCGGAACATGTGGACGTGAAAAGCGGTGAGCGTGGCCTTGTGGTCTAGTGGTATGATTCTCGCTTAGGGTGCGAGAGGTCCCGGATTCGATCTCCGGCAGGGCCCGGCCCGTCGCCGATCATGCGGGGAGAGTGTTTGCATCTCACTTCACGGCTTCTGGACGACAGTAAATGATCTTTCTTGCACAACAGAGGACCGGGACAAGTATAAACCGAAGCTGTTGCTGTGCGCGAGGAAGCGAGCACTCTAACACGATCGATGGACGTAACGGCTAACAAAGCACCGCGGTGGTTTGAAAAGAGTCGTTAGCGTCGATAAAGTGCCAATACGATGCGTTTGCATTCGACACTGCAATAATAGCACTTGTGTGTGGGTGCATGCAGGGCGTGCAGTCGGCGGAACATGTGGACGTGAAAAGCGGTGAGCGTGGCCTTGTGGTCTAGTGGTATGATTCTCGCTTAGGGTGCGAGAGGTCCCGGATTCGATCTCCGGCAAGGCCCAGCCTGTCGCCGATCATGCGGGAAGAGTGTTTGCATCTCACTTCATGGCTTCTGGACAACAGTAAATGATCTTTCTTGCACAACAGAGGACGGGACAAGTTTAAATCGAAGCTGTTGCTGTGCGCGAGGAAGCGAGCACTCTAACACGATCGATGGACGTAACGGCTTACAAAAGCACCGCAATGGTTTGAAAATAAGTCGTCAGCGTCGAAAAAGTGACAATACGACGCGTTCGCATTCGACACTGCAATAATAGCACTTGTGTGTGGGTGCATGCAGCGCGTGCAGTCGGCGGAACATGTGGACGTGAAAAGCGGTGAGCGTGGCCTTGTGGTCTAGTGGTATGATTCTCGCTTAGGGTGCGAGAGGTCCCGGATTCGATCTCCGGCAAGGCCCAGCCTGTCACCGATCATGCGGGAAGAGTGTTTGCATCTCACTTCATGGCTTCTGGACAACAGTAAATGATCTTTCTTGCACAACAGAGGACCGGGACAAGTATAAACCGAAGCTGTTGCTGTGCGCGAGGAAGCGAGCACTCTAACACGATCGATGGACGTAACGGCTTACAAAAGCACCGCAATGGTTTGAAAAGAAGTCGTCAGCGTCGATAAAGTGACAATACGATGCGTTTGCATTCGACACTGCAATAATAGCACTTGTGTGTGGGTGCATGCAGCGCGTGCAGTCGGCGGAACATGTGGACGTGAAAAGCGGTGAGCGTGGCCTTGTGGTCTAGTGGTATGATTCTCGCTTAGGGTGCGAGAGGTCCCGGATTCGATCTCCGGCAAGGCCCAGCCTGTCACCGATCATGCGGGAAGAGTGTTTGCATCTCACTTCATGGCTTCTGGACAACAGTAAATGATCTTTCTTGCACAACAGAGGACCGGGACAAGTTTAAATCGAAGCTGTTGCTATGTGCGAGAAAGCGAGCACTCTAACACGATCGATGGACGTAACGGCTAACAAAAGCACCGCAATGGTTTGAAAATAAGTCGTCAGCGTCGATAAAGTGACAATACGACGCGTTTGCATTCGACACTGCAATAATAGCACTTGTGTGTGGGTGCATGCAGCGCGTGCAGTCGGCGGAACATGTGGACGTGAAAAGCGGTGAGCGTGGCCTTGTGGTCTAGTGGTATGATTCTCGCTTAGGGTGCGAGAGGTCCCGGATTCGATCTCCGGCAAGGCCCAGCCTGTCACCGATCATGCGGGAAGAGTGTTTGCATCTCACTTCATGGCTTCTGGACAACAGTAAATGATCTTTCTTGCACAACAGAGGACCGGGACAAGTTTAAACCGAAGCTGTTGCTGTGCGCGAGAAAGCGAGCACTCTAACACGATCGATGGACGTAACGGCTAACAAAGCACCGCGGTGGTTTGAAAAGAGTCGTTAGCGTCGATAAAGTGCCAATACGATGCGTTTGCATTCGACACTGCAATAATAGCACTTGTGTGTGGGTGCATGCAGCGCGTGCAGTCGGCGGAACATGTGGACGTGAAAAGCGGTGAGCGTGGCCTTGTGGTCTAGTGGTATGATTCTCGCTTAGGGTGCGAGAGGTCCCGGATTCGATCTCCGGCAAGGCCCAGCCCGTCGCCGATCATGCGGGAAGAGTGTTTGCATCTCACTTCATGGCTTCTGGACAACAGTAAATGATCTTTCTTGCACAACAGAGGACCGGGACAAGTATAAACCGAAGCTGTTGCTGTGCGCGAGGAAGCGAGCACTCTAACACGATCGATGGACGTAACGGCTAACAAAGCACCGCGGTGGTTTGAAAAGAGTCGTTAGCGTCGATAAAGTGCCAATACGATGCGTTTGCATTCGACACTGCAATAATAGCACTTGTGTGTGGGTGCATGCAGCGCGTGCAGTCGGCGGAACATGTGGACGTGAAAAGCGGTGAGCGTGGCCTTGTGGTCTAGTGGTATGATTCTCGCTTAGGGTGCGAGAGGTCCCGGATTCGATCTCCGGCAAGGCCCAGCCCGTCACCGATCATGCGGGAAGAGTGTTTGCATCTCACTTCATGGCTTCTGGACAACAGTAAATGATCTTTCTTGCACAACAGAGGACCGGGACAAGTTTAAACCGAAGCTGTTGCTGTGCGCGAGGAAGCGAGCACTCTAACACGATCGATGGACGTAACGGCTAACAAAGCACCGCGGTGGTTTGAAAAGAGTCGTTAGCGTCGATAAAGTGCCAATACGATGCGTTTGCATTCGACACTGCAATAATAGCACTTGTGTGTGGGTGCATGCAGGGCGTGCAGTCGGCGGAACATGTGGACGTGAAAAGCGGTGAGCGTGGCCTTGTGGTCTAGTGGTATGATTCTCGCTTAGGGTGCGAGAGGTCCCGGATTCGATCTCCGGCAAGGCCCAGCCTGTCACCGATCATGCGGGAAGAGTGTTTGCATCTCACTTCATGGCTTCTGGACAACAGTAAATGATCTTTCTTGCACAACAGAGGACCGGGACAAGTATAAATCGAAGCTGTTGCTATGTGCGAGAAAGCGAGCACTCTAACACGATCGATGGACGTAACGGCTTACAAAAGCACCGCAATGGTTTGACAAAAGTCGTCAGCGTCGAAAAAGTGACAATACGACGCGTTCGCATTCGACACTGCAATAATAGCACTTGTGTGTGGGTGCATGCAGCGCGTGCAGTCGGCGGAACATGTGGACGTGAAAAGCGGTGAGCGTGGCCTTGTGGTCTAGTGGTATGATTCTCGCTTAGGGTGCGAGAGGTCCCGGATTCGATCTCCGGCAAGGCCCAGCCTGTCGCCGATCATGCGGGAAGAGTGTTTGCATCTCACTTCATGGCTTCTGGACAACAGTAAATGATCTTTCTTGCACAACAGAGGACCGGGACAAGTTTAAACCGAAGCCGTTGCTGTGTGCGAGAAAGCGAGCACTCTAACACGATCGATGGACGTAACGGCTAACAAAGCACCGCGGTGGTTTGAAAAGAGTCGTCAGCGTCGGTAAAGTGCCAATACGATGCGTTTGCATTCGACACTGCAATAATAGCACTTGTGTGTGGGTGCATGCAGCGCGTGCAGTCGGCGGAACATGTGGACGTGAAAAGCGGTGAGCGTGGCCTTGTGGTCTAGTGGTATGATTCTCGCTTAGGGTGCGAGAGGTCCCGGATTCGATCTCCGGCAAGGCCCAGCCCGTCACCGATCATGCGGGAAGAGTGTTTGCATCTCACTTCATGGCTTCTGGACAACAGTAAATGATCTTTCTTGCACAACAGAGGACCGGGACAAGTTTAAACCGAAGCTGTTGCTGTGTGCGAGAAAGCGAGCACTCTAACACGATCGATGGACGTAACGGCTTACAAAGCACCGCGGTGGTTTGAAAAGAAGTCGTCAGCGTCGATAAAGTGCCAATACGATGCGTTTGCATTCGACACTGCAATAATAGCACTTGTGTGTGGGTGCATGCAGCGCGTGCAGTCGGCGGAACATGTGGACGTGAAAAGCGGTGAGCGTGGCCTTGTGGTCTAGTGGTATGATTCTCGCTTAGGGTGCGAGAGGTCCCGGATTCGATCTCCGGCAAGGCCCAGCCTGTCACCGATCATGCGGGAAGAGTGTTTGCATCTCACTTCATGGCTTCTGGACAACAGTAAATGATCTTTCTTGCACAACAGAGGACCGGGACAAGTTTAAATCGAAGCTGTTGCTGTGCGCGAGGAAGCGAGCACTCTAACACGATCGATGGACGTAACGGCTTACAAAAGCACCGCAATGTTTCGACATAAGTCGTCAGCGTCGAAAAAGTGACAATACGACGCGTTCGCATTCGACACTGCAATAATAGCACTTGTGTGTGGGTGCATGCAGCGCGTGCAGTCGGCGGAACATGTGGACGTGAAAAGCGGTGAGCGTGGCCTTGTGGTCTAGTGGTATGATTCTCGCTTAGGGTGCGAGAGGTCCCGGATTCGATCTCCGGCAAGGCCCAGCCCGTCACCGATCATGCGGGAAGAGTGTTTGCATCTCACTTCATGGCTTCTGGACAACAGTAAATGATCTTTCTTGCACAACAGAGGACCGGGACAAGTTTAAACCGAAGCTGTTGCTGTGTGCGAGGAAGCGAGCACTCTAACACGATCGATGGACGTAACGGCTAACAAAGCACCGCAGTGGTTTGAATAAGATCGTCAGCGTCGATAAAGTGCCAATACGATGCGTTTGCATTCGACACTGCAATAATAGCACTTGTGTGTGGGTGCATGCAGCGCGTGCAGTCGGCGGAACATGTGGACGTGAAAAGCGGTGAGCGTGGCCTTGTGGTCTAGTGGTATGATTCTCGCTTAGGGTGCGAGAGGTCCCGGATTCGATCTCCGGCAAGGCCCAGCCTGTCGCCGATCATGCGGGAAGAGTGTTTGCATCTCACTTCATGGCTTCTGGACAACAGTAAATGATCTTTCTTGCACAACAGAGGACCGGGACAAGTTTAAACCGAAGCTGTTGCTGTGCGCGAGGAAGCGAGCACTCTAACACGATCGATGGACGTAACGGCTTACAAAAGCACCGCAATGGTTTGAAAAAAGTCGTCAGCGTCGAAAAAGTGACAATACGACGCGTTTGCATTCGACACTGCAATAATAGCACTTGTGTGTGGGTGCATGCAGCGCGTGCAGTCGGCGGAACATGTGGACGTGAAAAGCGGTGAGCGTGGCCTTGTGGTCTAGTGGTATGATTCTCGCTTAGGGTGCGAGAGGTCCCGGATTCGATCTCCGGCAAGGCCCAGCCTGTCACCGATCATGCGGGAAGAGTGTTTGCATCTCACTTCATGGCTTCTGGACAACAGTAAATGATCTTTCTTGCACAACAGAGGACCGGGACAAGTTTAAATCGAAGCTGTTGCTATGTGCGAGAAAGCGAGCACTCTAACACGATCGATGGACGTAACGGCTTACAAAAGCACCGCAATGTTTCGACATAAGTCGTCAGCGTCGAAAAAGTGACAATACGACGCGTTCGCATTCGACACTGCAATAATAGCACTTGTGTGTGGGTGCATGCAGCGCGTGCAGTCGGCGGAACATGTGGACGTGAAAAGCGGTGAGCGTGGCCTTGTGGTCTAGTGGTATGATTCTCGCTTAGGGTGCGAGAGGTCCCGGATTCGATCTCCGGCAAGGCCCATCCCGTCGCCGATCATGCGGGAAGAGTGTTTGCATCTCACTTCATGGCTTCTGGACAACAGTAAATGATCTTTCTTGCACAACAGAGGACCGGGACAAGTTTAAACCGAAGCTGTTGCTGTGCGCGAGGAAGCGAGCACTCTAACACGATCGATGGACGTAACGGCTTACAAAAGCACCGCAGTGGTTTGAAAAGAGTCGTCAGCGTCGATAAAGTGCCAATACGATGCGTTTGCATTCGACACTGCAATAATAGCACTTGTGTGTGGGTGCATGCAGCGCGTGCAGTCGGCGGAACATGTGGACGTGAAAAGCGGTGAGCGTGGCCTTGTGGTCTAGTGGTATGATTCTCGCTTAGGGTGCGAGAGGTCCCGGATTCGATCTCCGGCAAGGCCCAGCCCGTCACCGATCATGCGGGAAGAGTGTTTGCATCTCACTTCATGGCTTCTGGACAACAGTAAATGATCTTTCTTGCACAACAGAGGACCGGGACAAGTTTAAATCGAAGCTGTTGCTGTGCGCGAGGAAGCGAGCACTCTAACACGATCGATGGACGTAACGGCTAACAAAAGCACCGCAATGGTTTGAAAAGAGTCGTCAGCGTCGATAAAGTGACAATACGATGCGTTTGCATTCGACACTGCAATAATAGCACTTGTGTGTGGGTGCATGCAGCGCGTGCAGTCGGCGGAACATGTGGACGTGAAAAGCGGTGAGCGTGGCCTTGTGGTCTAGTGGTATGATTCTCGCTTAGGGTGCGAGAGGTCCCGGATTCGATCTCCGGCAAGGCCCAGCCTGTCACCGATCATGCGGGAAGAGTGTTTGCATCTCACTTCATGGCTTCTGGACAACAGTAAATGATCTTTCTTGCACAACAGAGGAACGGGACAAGTTTAAATCGAAGCTGTTGCTGTGCGCGAGAAAGCGAGCACTCTAACACGATCGATGGACGTAACGGCTAACAAAGCACCGCAGTGGTTTGAAAAGAAGTCGTCAGCGTCGATAAAGTGCCAATACGATGCGTTTGCATTCGACACTGCAATAATAGCACTTGTGTGTGGGTGCATGCAGCGCGTGCAGTCGGCGGATCATGTGGACGTGAAAAGCGGTGAGCGTGGCCTTGTGGTCTAGTGGTATGATTCTCGCTTAGGGTGCGAGAGGTCCCGGATTCGATCTCCGGCAAGGCCCAGCCTGTCACCGATCATGCGGGAAGAGTGTTTGCATCTCACTTCATGGCTTCTGGACAACAGTAAATGATCTTTCTTGCACAACAGAGGACCGGGACAAGTTTAAACCGAAGCTGTTGCTGTGCGTGAGAAAGCGAGCACTCCAACACGATCGATGGACATAACGGCTAACAAAAGCACCGCAATGTTTCGACATAAGTCGTTAGCGTCGATAAAGTGCCAATACGATGCGTTTGCATTCGACACTGCAATAATAGCACTTGTGTGTGGGTGCATGCAGCGCGTGCAGTCGGCGGAACATGTGGACGTGAAAAGCGGTGAGCGTGGCCTTGTGGTCTAGTGGTATGATTCTCGCTTAGGGTGCGAGAGGTCCCGGATTCGATCTCCGGCAAGGCCCAGCCCGTCGCCGATCATGCGGGAAGAGTGTTTGCATCTCACTTCATGGCTTCTGGACAACAGTAAATGATCTTTCTTGCACAACAGAGGACCGGGACAAGTTTAAATCGAAGCTGTTGCTGTGCGTGAGAAAGCGAGCACTCTAACACGATCGATGGACGTAACGGCTTACAAAAGCACCGCAATGGTTTGACAAAAGTCGTCAGCGTCGAAAAAGTGACAATACGACGCGTTCGCATTCGACACTGCAATAATAGCACTTGTGTGTGGGTGCATGCAGCGCGTGCAGTCGGCGGAACATGTGGACGTGAAAAGCGGTGAGCGTGGCCTTGTGGTCTAGTGGTATGATTCTCGCTTAGGGTGCGAGAGGTCCCGGATTCGATCTCCGGCAAGGCCCAGCCCGTCACCGATCATGCGGGAAGAGTGTTTGCATCTCACTTCATGGCTTCTGGACAACAGTAAATGATCTTTCTTGCACAACAGAGGACAGGGACAAGTATAAACCGAAGCTGTTGCTGTGTGCGAGGAAGCGAGCACTCTAACACGATCGATGGACGTAACGGCTAACAAAGCACCGCGGTGGTTTGAAAAGAGTCGTTAGCGTCGATAAAGTGCCAATACGATGCGTTTGCATTCGATACTGCAATAATAGCACTTGTGTGTGGGTGCATGCAGCGCGTGCAGTCGGCGGAACATGTGGACGTGAAAAGCGGTGAGCGTGGCCTTGTGGTCTAGTGGTATGATTCTCGCTTAGGGTGCGAGAGGTCCCGGATTCGATCTCCGGCAAGGCCCAGCCCGTCGCCGATCATGCGGGAAGAGTGTTTGCATCTCACTTCATGGCTTCTGGACAACAGTAAATGATCTTTCTTGCACAACAGAGGACAGGGACAAGTATAAACCGAAGCTGTTGCTGTGTGCGAGGAAGCGAGCACTCTAACACGATCGATGGACGTAACGGCTTACAAAGTACCGCAATGGTTTGAAAAGAGTCGTCAGCTTCGGAAAAGTGACAATACGATGCGTTCGCATTCGACATTGCAGTAATAGCACTTGTGTGTGTGGTGCATGCAGCGCGTGCAGTCGGCGGAACATGTGGACGTGAAAAGCGGTGAGCGTGGCCTTGTGGTCTAGTGGTATGATTCTCGCTTAGGGTGCGAGAGGTCCCGGATTCGATCTCCGGCAAGGCCCAGCCCGTCACCGATCATGCGGGAAGAGTGTTTGCATCTCACTTCATGGCTTCTGGACAACAGTAAATGATCTTTCTTGCACAACAGAGGACCGGGACAAGTTTAAACCGAAGCTGTTGCTGTGTGCGAGAAAGCGAGCACTCTAACACGATCGATGGACGTAACGGCTAACAAAGCACCGCGGTGGTTTGAAAAGAAGTCGTCAGCGTCGATAAAGTGCCAATACGATGCGTTTGCATTCGACACTGCAATAATAGCACTTGTGTGTGGGTGCATGCAGCGCGTGCAGTCGGCGGAACATGTGGACGTGAAAAGCGGTGAGCGTGGCCTTGTGGTCTAGTGGTATGATTCTCGCTTAGGGTGCGAGAGGTCCCGGATTCGATCTCCGGCAAGGCCCAGCCCGTCACCGATCATGCGGGAAGAGTGTTTGCATCTCACTTCATGGCTTCTGGACAACAGTAAATGATCTTTCTTGCACAACAGAGGACCGGGACAAGTTTAAATCGAAGCTGTTGCTGTGTGCGAGGAAGCGAGCACTCTAACACGATCGATGGACGTAACGGCTTACAAAAGCACCGCAATGGTTTGACATAAGTCGTCAGCGTCGAAAAAGTGACAATACGACGCGTTCGCATTCGACACTGCAATAATAGCACTTGTGTGTGGGTGCATGCAGCGCGTGCAGTCGGCGGAACATGTGGACGTGAAAAGCGGTGAGCGTGGCCTTGTGGTCTAGTGGTATGATTCTCGCTTAGGGTGCGAGAGGTCCCGGATTCGATCTCCGGCAAGGCCCAGCCTGTCACCGATCATGCGGGAAGAGTGTTTGCATCTCACTTCATGGCTTCTGGACAACAGTAAATGATCTTTCTTGCACAACAGAGGACCGGGACAAGTTTAAACCGAAGCTGTTGCTGTGTGCGAGAAAGCGAGCACTCTAACACGATCGATGGACGTAACGGCTAACAAAGCACCGCGGTGGTTTGAAAAGAATCTTCAGCGTCGATAAAGCGCCAATACGATGCGTTTGCATTCGACACTGCAATAATAGCACTTGTGTGTGGGTGCATGCAGCGCGTGCAGTCGGCGGAACATGTGGACGTGAAAAGCGGTGAGCGTGGCCTTGTGGTCTAGTGGTATGATTCTCGCTTAGGGTGCGAGAGGTCCCGGATTCGATCTCCGGCAAGGCCCAGCCCGTCGCCGATCATGCGGGAAGAGTGTTTGCATCTCACTTCATGGCTTCTGGACAACAGTAAATGATCTTTCTTGCACAACAGAGGACCGGGACAAGTTTAAACCGAAGCTGTTGCTGTGTGCGAGAAAGCGAGCACTCTAACACGATCGATGGACGTAACGGCTAACAAAGCACCGCGGTGGTTTGAAAAGAAGTCGTCAGCGTCGATAAAGTGCCAATACGATGCGTTTGCATTCGACACTGCAATAATAGCACTTGTGTGTGGGTGCATGCAGCGCGTGCAGTCGGCGGAACATGTGGACGTGAAAAGCGGTGAGCGTGGCCTTGTGGTCTAGTGGTATGATTCTCGCTTAGGGTGCGAGAGGTCCCGGATTCGATCTCCGGCAAGGCCCAGCCTGTCACCGATCATGCGGGAAGAGTGTTTGCATCTCACTTCATGGCTTCTGGACAACAGTAAATGATCTTTCTTGCACAACAGAGGACCGGGACAAGTTTAAACCGAAGCTGTTGCTGTGCGTGAGAAAGCGAGCACTCCAACACGATCGATGGACATAACGGCTAACAAAAGCACCGCAATGGTTTGAAAAGAATCGTCAGCGTCGAAAAAGTGACAATACGACGCGTTCGCATTCGACACTGCAATAATAGCACTTGTGTGTGGGTGCATGCAGCGCGTGCAGTCGGCGGAACATGTGGACGTGAAAAGCGGTGAGCGTGGCCTTGTGGTCTAGTGGTATGATTCTCGCTTAGGGTGCGAGAGGTCCCGGATTCGATCTCCGGCAAGGCCCAGCCCGTCGCCGATCATGCGGGAAGAGTGTTTGCATCTCACTTCATGGCTTCTGGACAACTGTAAATGATCTTTCTTGCACAACAGAGGACAGGGACAAGTTTAAATCGAAGCTGTTGCTGTGTGCGAGGAAGCGAGCACTCTAACACGATCGATGGACATAACGGCTAACAAAGCACCGCGGTGGTTTGAAAAGAATCTTCAGCGTCGATAAAGCGCCAATACGATGCGTTTGCATTCGACACTGCAATAATAGCACTTGTGTGTGGGTGCATGCAGCGCGTGCAGTCGGCGGAACATGTGGACGTGAAAAGCGGTGAGCGTGGCCTTGTGGTCTAGTGGTATGATTCTCGCTTAGGGTGCGAGAGGTCCCGGATTCGATCTCCGGCAAGGCCCAGCCTGTCGCCGATCATGCGGGAAGAGTGTTTGCATCTCACTTCATGGCTTCTGGACAACAGTAAATGATCTTTCTTGCACAACAGAGGACCGGGACAAGTTTAAACCGAAGCTGTTGCTGTGTGCGAGAAAGCGAGCACTCTAACACGATCGATGGACGTAACGGCTAACAAAGCACCGCGGTGGTTTGAAATAAGTCGTCAGCGTCGATAAAGTGCCAATACGATGCGTTCGCATTCGACACTGCAATAATAGCACTTGTGTGTGGGTGCATGCAGCGCGTGCAGTCGGCGGAACATGTGGACGTGAAAAGCGGTGAGCGTGGCCTTGTGGTCTAGTGGTATGATTCTCGCTTAGGGTGCGAGAGGTCCCGGATTTGATCTCCGGCAAGGCCCAGCCCGTCACCGATCATGCGGGAAGAGTGTTTGCATCTCACTTCATGGCTTCTGGACAACAGTAAATGATCTTTCTTGCACAACAGAGGAACGGGACAAGTTTAAATCGAAGCTGTTGCTGTGCGCGAGAAAGCGAGCACTCTAACACGATCGATGGACGTAACGGCTAACAAAGCACCGCGGTGGTTTGAAAAGAGTCGTTAGCGTCGATAAAGTGCCAATACGATGCGTTTGCATTCGACACTGCAATAATAGCACTTGTGTGTGGGTGCATGCAGCGCGTGCAGTCGGCGGAACATGTGGACGTGAAAAGCGGTGAGCGTGGCCTTGTGGTCTAGTGGTATGATTCTCGCTTAGGGTGCGAGAGGTCCCGGATTCGATCTCCGGCAAGGCCCAGCCTGTCGCCGATCATGCGGGAAGAGTGTTTGCATCTCACTTCATGGCTTCTGGACAACAGTAAATGATCTTTCTTGCACAACAGAGGACAGGGACAAGTTTAAATCGAAGCTGTTGCTGTGTGCGAGAAAGCGAGCACTCTAACACGATCGATGGACGTAACGGCTAACAAAAGCACCGCAATGGTTTGAAAAGAAGTCGTCAGCGTCGATAAAGTGACAATACGATGCGTTTGCATTCGACACTGCAATAATAGCACTTGTGTGTGGGTGCATGCAGCGCGTGCAGTCGGCGGAACATGTGGACGTGAAAAGCGGTGAGCGTGGCCTTGTGGTCTAGTGGTATGATTCTCGCTTAGGGTGCGAGAGGTCCCGGATTCGATCTCCGGCAAGGCCCAGCCCGTCGCCGATCATGCGGGAAGAGTGTTTGCATCTCACTTCATGGCTTCTGGACAACAGTAAATGATCTTTCTTGCACAACAGAGGACCGGGACAAGTTTAAACCGAAGCCGTTGCTGTGTGCGAGAAAGCGAGCACTCTAACACGATCGATGGACGTAACGGCTAACAAAGCACCGCGGTGGTTTGAAAAGAGTCGTCAGCGTCGATAAAGCGCCAATACGATGCGTTTGCATTCGACACTGCAATAATAGCACTTGTGTGTGGGTGCATGCAGCGCGTGCAGTCGGCGGAACATGTGGACGTGAAAAGCGGTGAGCGTGGCCTTGTGGTCTAGTGGTATGATTCTCGCTTAGGGTGCGAGAGGTCCCGGATTCGATCTCCGGCAAGGCCCATCCTGTCGCCGATCATGCGGGAAGAGTGTTTGCATCTCACTTCATGGCTTCTGGACAACAGTAAATGATCTTTCTTGCACAACAGAGGAACGGGACAAGTTTAAATCGAAGCTGTTGCTGTGCGCGAGGAAGCGAGCACTCTAACACGATCGATGGACGTAACGGCTAACAAAGCACCGCAGTGGTTTGAAAAGAAGTCGTCAGCGTCGATAAAGTGCCAATACGATGCGTTTGCATTCGACACTGCAATAATAGCACTTGTGTGTGGGTGCATGCAGCGCGTGCAGTCGGCGGAACATGTGGACGTGAAAAGCGGTGAGCGTGGCCTTGTGGTCTAGTGGTATGATTCTCGCTTAGGGTGCGAGAGGTCCCGGATTCGATCTCCGGCAAGGCCCAGCCCGTCACCGATCATGCGGGAAGAGTGTTTGCATCTCACTTCATGGCTTCTGGACAACAGTAAATGATCTTTCTTGCACAACAGAGGACCGGGACAAGTTTAAACCGAAGCTGTTGCTGTGTGCGAGGAAGCGAGCACTCTAACACGATCGATGGACGTAACGGCTAACAAAGCACCGCGGTGGTTTGAAAAGAAGTCGTCAGCGTCGATAAAGTGCCAATACGATGCGTTTGCATTCGACACTGCAATAATAGCACTTGTGTGTGGGTGCATGCAGCGCGTGCAGTCGGCGGAACATGTGGACGTGAAAAGCGGTGAGCGTGGCCTTGTGGTCTAGTGGTATGATTCTCGCTTAGGGTGCGAGAGGTCCCGGATTCGATCTCCGGCAAGGCCCAGCCCGTCACCGATCATGCGGGAAGAGTGTTTGCATCTCACTTCATGGCTTCTGGACAACAGTAAATGATCTTTCTTGCACAACAGAGGAACGGGACAAGTTTAAATCGAAGCTGTTGCTGTGCGCGAGGAAGCGAGCACTCTAACACGATCGATGGACGTAACGGCTAACAAAGCACCGCAATGGTTTGAAAAAGTCGTCAGCGTCGATAAAGTGCCAATACGATGCGTTTGCATTCGACACTGCAATAATAGCACTTGTGTGTGGGTGCATGCAGCGCGTGCAGTCGGCGGAACATGTGGACGTGAAAAGCGGTGAGCGTGGCCTTGTGGTCTAGTGGTATGATTCTCGCTTAGGGTGCGAGAGGTCCCGGATTCGATCTCCGGCCAGGCCCATCCCGTCGCCGATCATGCGGGAAGAGTGTTTGCATCTCACTTCGTGTCTTCTGGACAACAGTAAATGATCTTTCTTGCACAACAGAGGACCGGGACAAGTTTAAATCGAAGCTGTTGCTATGTGCGAGAAAGCGAGCACTCTAACACGATCGATGGACGTAACGGCTAACAAAAGCACCGCAATGGTTTGAAAAGAGTCGTCAGCGTCGATAAAGTGACAATACGACGCGTTTGCATTCGACACTGCAATAATAGCACTTGTGTGTGGGTGCATGCAGCGCGTGCAGTCGGCGGAACATGTGGACGTGAAAAGCGGTGAGCGTGGCCTTGTGGTCTAGTGGTATGATTCTCGCTTAGGGTGCGAGAGGTCCCGGATTCGATCTCCGGCAAGGCCCATCCCGTCGCCGATCATGCGGGAAGAGTGTTTGCATCTCACTTCGTGTCTTCTGGACAACAGTAAATGATCTTTCTTGCACAACAGAGGACCGGGACAAGTTTAAATCGAAGCTGTTGCTGTGCGTGAGAAAGCGAGCACTCCAACACGATCGATGGACGTAACGGCTAACAAAGCACCGCAGTGGTTTGAAAAGAAGTCGTCAGCGTCGATAAAGTGCCAATACGATGCGTTTGCATTCGACACTGCAATAATAGCACTTGTGTGTGGGTGCATGCAGCGCGTGCAGTCGGCGGAACATGTGGACGTGAAAAGCGGTGAGCGTGGCCTTGTGGTCTAGTGGTATGATTCTCGCTTAGGGTGCGAGAGGTCCCGGATTCGATCTCCGGCAAGGCCCAGCCTGTCACCGATCATGCGGGAAGAGTGTTTGCATCTCACTTCATGGCTTCTGGACAACAGTAAATGATCTTTCTTGCACAACAGAGGACAGGGACAAGTTTAAATCGAAGCTGTTGCTGTGTGCGAGGAAGCGAGCACTCTAACACGATCGATGGACGTAACGGCTAACAAAAGCACCGCAATGGTTTGAAAATAAGTCGTCAGCGTCGAAAAAGTGACAATACGACGCGTTCGCATTCGACACTGCAATAATAGCACTTGTGTGTGGGTGCATGCAGCGCGTGCAGTCGGCGGAACATGTGGACGTGAAAAGCGGTGAGCGTGGCCTTGTGGTCTAGTGGTATGATTCTCGCTTAGGGTGCGAGAGGTCCCGGATTCGATCTCCGGCAAGGCCCAGCCCGTCACCGATCATGCGGGAAGAGTGTTTGCATCTCACTTCGTGTCTTCTGGACAACAGTAAATGATCTTTCTTGCACAACAGAGGACCGGGACAAGTTTAAACCGAAGCTGTTGCTGTGTGCGAGAAAGCGAGCACTCTAACACGATCGATGGACGTAACGGCTAACAAAGCACCGCGGTGGTTTAAAAAGAGTCGTTAGCGTCGATAAAGCGCCAATACGATGCGTTTGCATTCGACACTGCAATAATAGCACTTGTGTGTGGGTGCATGCAGCGCGTGCAGTCGGCGGAACATGTGGACGTGAAAAGCGGTGAGCGTGGCCTTGTGGTCTAGTTGTATGATTCTCGCTTAGGGGGGAGAGGTCCCGGATTCGATCTCCGGCAGGGCCCGGCCCGTCGCCGATCATGCGGGGAGAGTGTTTGCATCTCACTTCATGGCTTCTGGACAACAGTAAATGATCTTTCTTGCACAACAGAGGACCGGGACAAGTTTAAACCGAAGCTGTTGCTGTGCGCGAGGAAGCGAGCACTCTAACACGATCGATGGACGTAACGGCTTACAAAAGCACCGCAATGGTTTGAAATAAGTCGTCAGCGTCGAAAAAGTGCCAATACGACGCGTTTGCATTCGACACTGCAATAATAGCACTTGTGTGTGGGTGCATGCAGCGCGTGCAGTCGGCGGAACATGTGGACGTGAAAAGCGGTGAGCGTGGCCTTGTGGTCTAGTGGTATGATTCTCGCTTAGGGTGCGAGAGGTCCCGGATTCGATCTCCGGCAAGGCCCAGCCCGTCACCGATCATGCGGGAAGAGTGTTTGCATCTCACTTCATGGCTTCTGGACAACAGTAAATGATCTTTCTTGCACAACAGAGGACCGGGACAAGTTTAAACCGAAGCTGTTGCTGTGTGCGAGGAAGCGAGCACTCTAACACGATCGATGGACGTAACGGCTAACAAAGCACCGCGGTGGTTTGAAAAGAATCTTCAGCGTCGATAAAGCGCCAATACGATGCGTTTGCATTCGACACTGCAATAATAGCACTTGTGTGTGGGTGCATGCAGCGCGTGCAGTCGGCGGAACATGTGGACGTGAAAAGCGGTGAGCGTGGCCTTGTGGTCTAGTGGTATGATTCTCGCTTAGGGTGCGAGAGGTCCCGGATTCGATCTCCGGCAAGGCCCAGCCTGTCACCGATCATGCGGGAAGAGTGTTTGCATCTCACTTCATGGCTTCTGGACAACAGTAAATGATCTTTCTTGCACAACAGAGGACAGGGACAAGTTTAAACCGAAGCTGTTGCTGTGCGCGAGGAAGCGAGCACTCTAACACGATCGATGGACGTAACGGCTTACAAAAGCACCGCAATGGTTTGAAAAGAAGTCGTCAGCGTCGAAAAAGTGACAATACGATGCGTTCGCATTCGACACTGCAATAATAGCACTTGTGTGTGGGTGCATGCAGCGCGTGCAGTCGGCGGAACATGTGGACGTGAAAAGCGGTGAGCGTGGCCTTGTGGTCTAGTGGTATGATTCTCGCTTAGGGTGCGAGAGGTCCCGGATTTGATCTCCGGCAAGGCCCAGCCCGTCACCGATCATGCGGGAAGAGTGTTTGCATCTCACTTCGTGTCTTCTGGACAACAGTAAATGATCTTTCTTGCACAACAGAGGACCGGGACAAGTTTAAATCGAAGCTGTTGCTATGTGCGAGAAAGCGAGCACTCTAACACGATCGATGGACGTAACGGCTAACAAAGCACCGCGGTGGTTTGAAAAGAATCTTCAGCGTCGATAAAGCGCCAATACGATGCGTTTGCATTCGACACTGCAATAATAGCACTTGTGTGTGGGTGCATGCAGCGCGTGCAGTCGGCGGAACATGTGGACGTGAAAAGCGGTGAGCGTGGCCTTGTGGTCTAGTGGTATGATTCTCGCTTAGGGTGCGAGAGGTCCCGGATTCGATCTCCGGCAAGGCCCAGCCTGTCACCGATCATGCGGGAAGAGTGTTTGCATCTCACTTCATGGCTTCTGGACAACAGTAAATGATCTTTCTTGCACAACAGAGGACCGGGACAAGTTTAAACCGAAGCTGTTGCTGTGCGCGAGGAAGCGAGCACTCTAACACGATCGATGGACGTAACTGCTTACAAAAGCACCGCAATGGTTTGAAAATAAGTCGTCAGCGTCGAAAAAGTGCCAATACGATGCGTTTGCATTCGACACTGCAATAATAGCACTTGTGTGTGGGTGCATGCAGCGCGTGCAGTCGGCGGAACATGTGGACGTGAAAAGCGGTGAGCGTGGCCTTGTGGTCTAGTGGTATGATTCTCGCTTAGGGTGCGAGAGGTCCCGGATTCGATCTCCGGCAAGGCCCAGCCCGTCACCGATCATGCGGGAAGAGTGTTTGCATCTCACTTCATGGCTTCTGGACAACAGTAAATGATCTTTCTTGCACAACAGAGGACCGGGACAAGTTTAAACCGAAGCTGTTGCTGTGCGCGAGGAAGCGAGCACTCTAACACGATCGATGGACGTAACGGCTAACAAAAGCACCGCAATGGTTTGAAATAAGTCGTCAGCGTCGATAAAGTGACAATACGATGCGTTTGCATTCGACACTGCAATAATAGCACTTGTGTGTGGGTGCATGCAGCGCGTGCAGTCGGCGGAACATGTGGACGTGAAAAGCGGTGAGCGTGGCCTTGTGGTCTAGTGGTATGATTCTCGCTTAGGGTGCGAGAGGTCCCGGATTCGATCTCCGGCAAGGCCCAGCCTGTCACCGATCATGCGGGAAGAGTGTTTGCATCTCACTTCATGGCTTCTGGACAACAGTAAATGATCTTTCTTGCACAACAGAGGACCGGGACAAGTTTAAACCGAAGCTGTTGCTGTGTGCGAGAAAGCGAGCACTCTAACACGATCGATGGACGTAACGGCTAACAAAGCACCGCGGTGGTTTGAAAAGAATCTTCAGCGTCGATAAAGCGCCAATACGATGCGTTTGCATTCGACACTGCAATAATAGCACTTGTGTGTGGGTGCATGCAGCGCGTGCAGTCGGCGGAACATGTGGACGTGAAAAGCGGTGAGCGTGGCCTTGTGGTCTAGTGGTATGATTCTCGCTTAGGGTGCGAGAGGTCCCGGATTCGATCTCCGGCAAGGCCCAGCCTGTCACCGATCATGCGGGAAGAGTGTTTGCATCTCACTTCATGGCTTCTGGACAACAGTAAATGATCTTTCTTGCACAACAGAGGACCGGGACAAGTTTAAACCGAAGCTGTTGCTGTGCGTGAGAAAGCGAGCACTCCAACACGATCGATGGACGTAACGGCTTACAAAAGCACCGCAATGGTTTGAAATAAGTCGTCAGCGTCGAAAAAGTGACAATACGATGCGTTCGCATTCGACACTGCAATAATAGCACTTGTGTGTGGGTGCATGCAGCGCGTGCAGTCGGCGGAACATGTGGACGTGAAAAGCGGTGAGCGTGGCCTTGTGGTCTAGTGGTATGATTCTCGCTTAGGGTGCGAGAGGTCCCGGATTCGATCTCCGGCAAGGCCCAGCCCGTCACCGATCATGCGGGAAGAGTGTTTGCATCTCACTTCGTGTCTTCTGGACAACAGCAAATGATCTTTCTTGCACAACAGAGGACAGGGACAAGTTTAAATCGAAGCTGTTGCTATGTGCGAGAAAGCGAGCACTCTAACACGATCGATGGACGTAACGGCTAACAAAGCACCGCGGTGGTTTGAAAAGAAGTCGTCAGCGTCGATAAAGTGCCAATACGATGCGTTTGCATTCGACACTGCAATAATAGCACTTGTGTGTGGGTGCATGCAGCGCGTGCAGTCGGCGGAACATGTGGACGTGAAAAGCGGTGAGCGTGGCCTTGTGGTCTAGTGGTATGATTCTCGCTTAGGGTGCGAGAGGTCCCGGATTCGATCTCCGGCAAGGCCCAGCCTGTCGCCGATCATGCGGGGAAGAGTGTTTGCATCTCACTTCATGGCTTCTGGACAACAGTAAATGATCTTTCTTGCACAACAGAGGACCGGGACAAGTTTAAACCGAAGCTGTTGCTGTGTGCGAGGAAGCGAGCACTCTAACACGATCGATGGACGTAACGGCTTACAAAAGCACCGCAATGGTTTGAAAATAAGTCGTCAGCGTCGAAAAAGTGACAATACGACGCGTTCGCATTCGACACTGCAATAATAGCACTTGTGTGTGGGTGCATGCAGCGCGTGCAGTCGGCGGAACAGGTGGACGTGAAAAGCGGTGAGCGTGGCCTTGTGGTCTAGTGGTATGATTCTCGCTTAGGGTGCGAGAGGTCCCGGATTCGATCTCCGGCAAGGCCCAGCCCGTCACCGATCATGCGGGAAGAGTGTTTGCATCTCACTTCATGGCTTCTGGACAACAGTAAATGATCTTTATTGCACAACAGAGGACCGGGACAAGTTTAAACCGAAGCCGTTGCTGTGTGCGAGAAAGCGAGCACTCTAACACGATCGATGGACGTAACGGCTAACAAAGCACCGCGGTGGTTTGAAAAGAGTCGTCAGTGTCAGTAACGTGCCAATACGATGCGTTTGCATTCGACACTGCAATAATAGCACTTGTGTGTGGGTGCATGTAGCGCGTGCAGTCGGCGGATCAGGTGGACGTGAAAAGCGGTGAGCGTGGCCTTGTGGTCTAGTGGTATGATTCTCGCTTAGGGTGCGAGAGGTCCCGGATTCGATCTCCGGCAAGGCCCAGCCTGTCACCGATCATGTGGGAAGAGTGTTTGCATCTCACTTCATGGCTTCTGGACAACAGTAAATGATCTTTCTTGCACAACAGAGGACAGGGACAAGTTTAAACCGAAGCCGTTGCTGTGTGCGAGAAAGCGAGCACTCTAACACGATCGATGGACGTAACGGCTAACAAAAGCACCGCAGTGGTTTGAAAGAAGTCGTCAGCGTCGATAAAGTGCCAATACGATGCGTTTGCATTCGACACTGCAATAATAGCACTTGTGTGTGGGTGCATGTAGCGCGTGCAGTCGGCGGATCAGGTGGACGTGAAAAGCGGTGAGCGTGGCCTTGTGGTCTAGTGGTATGATTCTCGCTTAGGGTGCGAGAGGTCCCGGATTCGATCTCCGGCAAGGCCCAGCCCGTCACCGATCATGCGGGAAGAGTGTTTGCATCTCACTTCATGGCTTCTGGACAACAGTAAATGATCTTTCTTGCACAACAGAGGACCGGGACAAGTTTAAACCGAAGCTGTTGCTGTGTGCGAGAAAGCGAGCACTCTAACACGATCGATGGACGTAACGGCTAACAAAGCACCGCGGTGGTTTGAAAAGAAGTCGTCAGCGTCGATAAAGTGCCAAATACGATGCGTTTGCATTCGACACTGCAATAATAGCACTTGTGTGTGGGTGCATGCAGCGCGTGCAGTCGGCGGATCATGTGGACGTGAAAAGAGGTGAGCGTGGCCTTGTGGTCTAGTGGTATGATTCTCGCTTAGGGTGCGAGAGGTCCCGGATTCGATCTCCGGCAAGGCCCAGCCTGTCACCGATCATGCGGGAAGAGTGTTTGCATCTCACTTCATGGCTTCTGGACAACAGTAAATGATCTTTCTTGCACAACAGAGGACCGGGACAAGTTTAAACCGAAGCTGTTGCTGTGCGCGAGGAAGCGAGCACTCTAACACGATCGATGGACGTAACGGCTTACAAAAGCACCGCAATGGTTTGACATAAGTCGTCAGCGTCGATAAAGTGACAATACGATGCGTTCGCATTCGACACTGCAATAATAGCACTTGTGTGTGGGTGCATGCAGCGCGTGCAGTCGGCGGATCAGGTGGACGTGAAAAGCGGTGAGCGTGGCCTTGTGGTCTAGTGGTATGATTCTCGCTTAGGGTGCGAGAGGTCCCGGATTTGATCTCCGGCAAGGCCCAGCCCGTCACCGATCATGCGGGAAGAGTGTTTGCATCTCACTTCGTGTCTTCTGGACAACAGCAAATGATCTTTCTTGCACAACAGAGGACCGGGACAAGTTTAAATCGAAGCTGTTGCTATGTGCGAGAAAGCGAGCACTCTAACACGATCGATGGACGTAACGGCTAACAAAGCACCGCGGTGGTTTGAAAAGAGTCGTTAGCGTCGATAAAGTGCCAATACGATGCGTTTGCATTCGACACTGCAATAATAGCACTTGTGTGTGGGTGCATGCAGCGCGTGCAGTCGGCGGAACATGTGGACGTGAAAAGCGGTGAGCGTGGCCTTGTGGTCTAGTGGTATGATTCTCGCTTAGGGTGCGAGAGGTCCCGGATTCGATCTCCGGCAAGGCCCAGCCTGTCACCGATCATGCGGGAAGAGTGTTTGCATCTCACTTCATGGCTTCTGGACAACAGTAAATGATCTTTCTTGCACAACAGAGGACAGGGACAAGTTTAAACCGAAGCTGTTGCTGTGTGCGAGAAAGCGAGCACTCTAACACGATCGATGGACGTAACGGCTAACAAAGCACCGCGGTGGTTTGAAAAGAAGTCGTCAGCGTCGATAAAGTGCCAATACGATGCGTTTGCATTCGACACTGCAATAATAGCACTTGTGTGTGGGTGCATGCAGCGCGTGCAGTCGGCGGAACATGTGGACGTGAAAAGCGGTGAGCGTGGCCTTGTGGTCTAGTGGTATGATTCTCGCTTAGGGTGCGAGAGGTCCCGGATTCGATCTCCGGCAAGGCCCAGCCTGTCACCGATCATGCGGGAAGAGTGTTTGCATCTCACTTCATGGCTTCTGGACAACAGTAAATGATCTTTCTTGCACAACAGAGGACCGGGACAAGTTTAAATCGAAGCTGTTGCTGTGTGCGAGGAAGCGAGCACTCTAACACGATCGATGGACGTAACGGCTTACAAAAGCACCGCAATGGTTTGAAAATAAGTCGTCAGCGTCGAAAAAGTGACAATACGACGCGTTTGCATTCGACACTGCAATAATAGCACTTGTGTGTGGGTGCATGCAGCGCGTGCAGTCGGCGGATCAGGTGGACGTGAAAAGCGGTGAGCGTGGCCTTGTGGTCTAGTGGTATGATTCTCGCTTAGGGTGCGAGAGGTCCCGTTTCGATCTCCGGCAAGGCCCAGCCCGTCACCGATCATGCGGGAAGAGTGTTTGCATCTCACTTCATGGCTTCTGGACAACAGTAAATGATCTTTCTTGCACAACAGAGGACAGGGACAAGTTTAAACCGAAGCTGTTGCTGTGTGCGAGAAAGCGAGCACTCTAACACGATCGATGGACGTAACGGCTAACAAAGCACCGCGGTGGTTTGAAAAGAAGTCGTCAGCGTCGATAAAGTGCCAATACGATGCGTTTGCATTCGACACTGCAATAATAGCACTTGTGTGTGGGTGCATGCAGCGCGTGCAGTCGGCGGAACATGTGGACGTGAAAAGCGGTGAGCGTGGCCTTGTGGTCTAGTGGTATGATTCTCGCTTAGGGTGCGAGAGGTCCCGGATTCGATCTCCGGCAAGGCCCAGCCTGTCACCGATCATGCGGGAAGAGTGTTTGCATCTCACTTCATGGCTTCTGGACAACAGTAAATGATCTTTCTTGCACAACAGAGGACCGGGACAAGTTTAAATCGAAGCTGTTGCTGTGTGCGAGGAAGCGAGCACTCTAACACGATCGATGGACGTAACTGCTTACAAAAGCACCGCAATGTTTCGACATAAGTCGTCAGCGTCGAAAAAGTGACAATACGACGCGTTCGCATTCGACACTGCAATAATAGCACTTGTGTGTGGGTGCATGCAGCGCGTGCAGTCGGCGGATCAGGTGGACGTGAAAAGCGGTGAGCGTGGCCTTGTGGTCTAGTGGTATGATTCTCGCTTAGGGTGCGAGAGGTCCCGGATTTGATCTCCGGCAAGGCCCAGCCCGTCACCGATCATGCGGGAAGAGTGTTTGCATCTCACTTCATGGCTTCTGGACAACAGTAAATGATCTTTCTTGCACAACAGAGGACAGGGACAAGTTTAAACCGAAGCCGTTGCTGTGTGCGAGAAAGCGAGCACTCTAACACGATCGATGGACGTAACGGCTAACAAAGCACCGCGGTGGTTTGAAAAGAATCTTCAGCGTCGATAAAGCGCCAATACGATGCGTTTGCATTCGACACTGCAATAATAGCACTTGTGTGTGGGTGCATGTAGCGCGTGCAGTCGGCGGATCAGGTGGACGTGAAAAGCGGTGAGCGTGGCCTTGTGGTCTAGTGGTATGATTCTCGCTTAGGGTGCGAGAGGTCCCGGATTCGATCTCCGGCAAGGCCCAGCCTGTCACCGATCATGCGGGAAGAGTGTTTGCATCTCACTTCATGGCTTCTGGACAACAGTAAATGATCTTTCTTGCACAACAGAGGACCGGGACAAGTTTAAACCGAAGCTGTTGCTGTGTGCGAGAAAGCGAGCACTCTAACACGATCGATGGACGTAACTGCTTACAAAAGCACCGCAATGTTTCGAAATAGAGTCGTCAGCGTCGATAAAGTGCCAATACGATGCGTTTGCATTCGACACTGCAATAATAGCACTTGTGTGTGGGTGCATGCAGCGCGTGCAGTCGGCGGATCAGGTGGACGTGAAAAGCGGTGAGCGTGGCCTTGTGGTCTAGTGGTATGATTCTCGCTTAGGGTGCGAGAGGTCCCGGATTCGATCTCCGGCAAGGCCCAGCCTGTCACCGATCATGCGGGAAGAGTGTTTGCATCTCACTTCATGGCTTCTGGACAACAGTAAATGATCTTTCTTGCACAACAGAGGACCGGGACAAGTTTAAACCGAAGCTGTTGCTGTGTGCGAGGAAGCGAGCACTCTAACACGATCGATGGACGTAACGGCTAACAAAAGCACCGCAGTGGTTTCGAAAAGAAGTCGTCAGCGTCGATAAAGTGCCAATACGATGCGTTTGCATTCGACACTGCAATAATAGCACTTGTGTGTGGGTGCATGCAGCGCGTGCAGTCGGCGGAACATGTGGACGTGAAAAGCGGTGAGCGTGGCCTTGTGGTCTAGTGGTATGATTCTCGCTTAGGGTGCGAGAGGTCCCGGATTCGATCTCCGGCAAGGCCCAGCCTGTCACCGATCATGTGGGAAGAGTGTTTGCATCTCACTTCATGGCTTCTGGACAACAGTAAATGATCTTTCTTGCACAACAGAGGACAGGGACAAGTTTAAACCGAAGCCGTTGCTGTGTGCGAGGAAGCGAGCACTCTAACACGATCGATGGATGTAACTGCTTACAAAAGCACCGCAATGTTTCGACATAAGTCGTCAGCGTCGAAAAAGTGACAATACGATGCGTTTGCATTCGACACTGCAATAATAGCACTTGTGTGTGGGTGCATGCAGCGCGTGCAGTCGGCGGATCAGGTGGACGTGAAAAGCGGTGAGCGTGGCCTTGTGGTCTAGTGGTATGATTCTCGCTTAGGGTGCGAGAGGTCCCGGATTTGATCTCCGGCAAGGCCCAGCCCGTCACCGATCATGCGGGAAGAGTGTTTGCATCTCACTTCATGGCTTCTGGACAACAGTAAATGATCTTTCTTGCACAACAGAGGACCGGGACAAGTTTAAACCGAAGCTGTTGCTGTGCGCGAGGAAGCGAGCACTCTAACACGATCGATGGACGTAACGGCTAACAAAGCACCGCGGTGGTTCGAAAAGAGTCGTTAGCGTCGATAAAGTGCCAATACGATGCGTTTGCATTCGACACTGCAATAATAGCACTTGTGTGTGGGTGCATGCAGCGCGTGCAGTCGGCGGATCAGGTGGACGTGAAAAGCGGTGAGCGTGGCCTTGTGGTCTAGTGGTATGATTCTCGCTTAGGGTGCGAGAGGTCCCGGATTCGATCTCCGGCAAGGCCCAGCCTGTCACCGATCATGCGGGAAGAGTGTTTGCATCTCACTTCATGGCTTCTGGACAACAGTAAATGATCTTTCTTGCACAACAGAGGACCGGGACAAGTTTAAATCGAAGCTGTTGCTGTGTGCGAGAAAGCGAGCACTCTAACACGATCGATGGACGTAACGGCTAACAAAAGCACCGCAATGTTTCGACATAAGTCGTCAGCGTCGAAAAAGTGACAATACGACGCGTTCGCATTCGACACTGCAATAATAGCACTTGTGTGTGGGTGCATGCAGCGCGTGCAGTCGGCGGATCAGGTGGACGTGAAAAGCGGTGAGCGTGGCCTTGTGGTCTAGTGGTATGATTCTCGCTTAGGGTGCGAGAGGTCCCGGATTTGATCTCCGGCAAGGCCCAGCCCGTCACCGATCATGCGGGAAGAGTGTTTGCATCTCACTTCGTGTCTTCTGGACAACAGCAAATGATCTTTCTTGCACAACAGAGGACAGGGACAAGTTTAAATCGAAGCTGTTGCTATGTGCGAGAAAGCGAGCACTCTAACACGATCGATGGACGTAACGGCTAACAAAGCACCGCGGTGGTTTGAAAAGAGTCGTTAGCGTCGATAAAGCGCCAATACGATGCGTTTGCATTCGACACTGCAATAATAGCACTTGTGTGTGGGTGCATGTAGCGCGTGCAGTCGGCGGATCAGGTGGACGTGAAAAGCGGTGAGCGTGGCCTTGTGGTCTAGTGGTATGATTCTCGCTTAGGGTGCGAGAGGTCCCGGATTCGATCTCCGGCAAGGCCCAGCCTGTCACCGATCATGCGGGAAGAGTGTTTGCATCTCACTTCATGGCTTCTGGACAACAGTAAATGATCTTTCTTGCACAACAGAGGACCGGGACAAGTTTAAATCGAAGCTGTTGCTGTGTGCGAGGAAGCGAGCACTCTAACACGATCGATGGACGTAACTGCTTACAAAAGCACCGCAATGTTTCGACATAAGTCGTCAGCGTCGAAAAAGTGACAATACGACGCGTTCGCATTCGACACTGCAATAATAGCACTTGTGTGTGGGTGCATGCAGCGCGTGCAGTCGGCGGATCAGGTGGACGTGAAAAGCGGTGAGCGTGGCCTTGTGGTCTAGTGGTATGATTCTCGCTTAGGGTGCGAGAGGTCCCGGATTCGATCTCCGGCAAGGCCCAGCCTGTCACCGATCATGCGGGAAGAGTGTTTGCATCTCACTTCATGGCTTCTGGACAACAGTAAATGATCTTTCTTGCACAACAGAGGAACGGGACAAGTTTAAATCGAAGCTGTTGCTATGTGCGAGAAAGCGAGCACTCTAACACGATCGATGGACGTAACGGCTAACAAAAGCACCGCAATGGTTCGACAAAGAGTCGTCAGCGTCGATAAAGTGCCAATACGATGCGTTTGCATTCGACACTGCAATAATAGCACTTGTGTGTGGGTGCATGTAGCGCGTGCAGTCGGCGGATCAGGTGGACGTGAAAAGCGGTGAGCGTGGCCTTGTGGTCTAGTGGTATGATTCTCGCTTAGGGTGCGAGAGGTCCCGGATTCGATCTCCGGCAAGGCCCAGCCTGTCACCGATCATGCGGGAAGAGTGTTTGCATCTCACTTCATGGCTTCTGGACAACAGTAAATGATCTTTCTTGCACAACAGAGGACAGGGACAAGTATAAATCGAAGCTGTTGCTGTGTGCGAGAAAGCGAGCACTCTAACACGATCGATGGACGTAACGGCTAACAAAAGCACCGCGGTGGTTTCGAAATAAGTCGTTCAGCGTCGATAAAGTGCCAATACGATGCGTTTGCATTCGACACTGCAATAATAGCACTTGTGTGTGGGTGCATGCAGCGCGTGCAGTCGGCGGAACATGTGGACGTGAAAAGCGGTGAGCGTGGCCTTGTGGTCTAGTGGTATGATTCTCGCTTAGGGTGCGAGAGGTCCCGGATTCGATCTCCGGCAAGGCCCAGCCTGTCACCGATCATGCGGGAAGAGTGTTTGCATCTCACTTCATGGCTTCTGGACAACAGTAAATGATCTTTCTTGCACAACAGAGGAACGGGACAAGTTTAAATCGAAGCTGTTGCTGTGCGCGAGGAAGCGAGCACTCTAACACGATCGATGGACGTAACTGCTTACAAAAGCACCGCAATGTTTCAACATAAGTCGTCAGCGTCGAAAAAGTGACAATACGACGCGTTCGCATTCGACACTGCAATAATAGCACTTGTGTGTGGGTGCATGCAGCGCGTGCAGTCGGCGGATCATGTGGACGTGAAAAGCGGTGAGCGTGGCCTTGTGGTCCAGTGGTATGATTCTCGCTTAGGGTGCGAGAGGTCCCGGATTCGACCTCCGGCAAGGCCCAGCCCGTCGCCGATCATGCGGGAAGAGTGTTTGCATCTCACTTCATGGCTTCTGGACAACTGTAAATGATCTTTCTTGCACAACAGAGGACAGGGACAAGTTTAAACCGAAGCTGTTGCTGTGTGCGAGGAAGCGAGCACTCTAACACGATCGATGGACGTAACGGCTAACAAAGCACCGCGGTGGTTTGAAAAGAAGTCGTCAGCGTCGATAAAGCGCCAATACGATGCGTTTGCATTCGACACTGCAATAATAGCACTTGTGTGTGGGTGCATGCAGCGCGTGCAGTCGGCGGAACATGTGGACGTGAAAAGCGGTGAGCGTGGCCTTGTGGTCTAGTGGTATGATTCTCGCTTAGGGTGCGAGAGGTCCCGGATTCGATCTCCGGCAAGGCCCAGCCTGTCACCGATCATGCGGGAAGAGTGTTTGCATCTCACTTCATGGCTTCTGGACAACAGTAAATGATCTTTCTTGCACAACAGAGGACCGGGACAAGTTTAAATCGAAGCTGTTGCTGTGTGCGAGAAAGCGAGCACTCTAACACGATCGATGGACGTAACTGCTTACAAAAGCACCGCAATGTTTCGACATAAGTCGTCAGCGTCGAAAAAGTGACAATACGACGCGTTTGCATTCGACACTGCAATAATAGCACTTGTGTGTGGGTGCATGTAGCGCGTGCAGTCGGCGGATCAGGTGGACGTGAAAAGCGGTGAGCGTGGCCTTGTGGTCTAGTGGTATGATTCTCGCTTAGGGTGCGAGAGGTCCCGGATTCGATCTCCGGCAAGGCCCAGCCTGTCACCGATCATGCGGGAAGAGTGTTTGCATCTCACTTCATGGCTTCTGGACAACAGTAAATGATCTTTCTTGCACAACAGAGGACAGGGACAAGTTTAAATCGAAGCTGTTGCTGTGCGCGAGGAAGCGAGCACTCTAACACGATCGATGGACGTAACGGCTAACAAAGCACCGCAGTGGTTTGAAAAGAAGTCGTCAGCGTCGATAAAGTGCCAATACGATGCGTTTGCATTCGACACTGCAATAATAGCACTTGTGTGTGGGTGCATGCAGCGCGTGCAGTCGGCGGATCATGTGGACGTGAAAAGCGGTGAGCGTGGCCTTGTGGTCTAGTGGTATGATTCTCGCTTAGGGTGCGAGAGGTCCCGGATTCGATCTCCGGCAAGGCCCAGCCTGTCACCGATCATGCGGGAAGAGTGTTTGCATCTCACTTCATGGCTTCTGGACAACAGTAAATGATCTTTCTTGCACAACAGAGGACAGGGACAAGTATAAACCGAAGCTGTTGCTGTGTGCGAGGAAGCGAGCACTCTAACACGATCGATGGACGTAACTGCTTACAAAAGCACCGCAATGTTTCGACATAAGTCGTCAGCGTCGAAAAAGTGACAATACGACGCGTTTGCATTCGACACTGCAATAATAGCACTTGTGTGTGGGTGCATGTAGCGCGTGCAGTCGGCGGATCAGGTGGACGTGAAAAGCGGTGAGCGTGGCCTTGTGGTCTAGTGGTATGATTCTCGCTTAGGGTGCGAGAGGTCCCGGATTCGATCTCCGGCAGGGCCCGGCCCGTCGCCGATCATGCGGGAAGAGTGTTTGCATCTCACTTCACGGCTTCTGGACAACAGTAAATGATCTTTCTTGCACAACAGAGGACAGGGACAAGTTTAAATCGAAGCTGTTGCTGTGTGCGCGAGAAAGCGAGCACTCTAACACGATCGATGGACGTAACGGCTAACAAAGCACCGCGGTGGTTTGAAAAGAAGTCGTCAGCGTCGATAAAGTGCCAATACGATGCGTTTGCATTCGACACTGCAATAATAGCACTTGTGTGTGGGTGCATGTAGCGCGTGCAGTCGGCGGATCAGGTGGACGTGAAAAGCGGTGAGCGTGGCCTTGTGGTCTAGTGGTATGATTCTCGCTTAGGGTGCGAGAGGTCCCGGATTCGATCTCCGGCAAGGCCCAGCCTGTCACCGATCATGCGGGAAGAGTGTTTGCATCTCACTTCATGGCTTCTGGACAACAGTAAATGATCTTTCTTGCACAACAGAGGACAGGGACAAGTATAAATCGAAGCTGTTGCTGTGCGCGAGGAAGCGAGCACTCTAACACGATCGATGGACGTAACTGCTTACAAAAGCACCGCAATGTTTCGACATAAGTCGTTAGCGTCGATAAAGTGCCAATACGATGCGTTTGCATTCGACACTGCAATAATAGCACTTGTGTGTGGGTGCATGCAGCGCGTGCAGTCGGCGGAACATGTGGACGTGAAAAGCGGTGAGCGTGGCCTTGTGGTCTAGTGGTATGATTCTCGCTTAGGGTGCGAGAGGTCCCGGATTCGATCTCCGGCAAGGCCCAGCCTGTCACCGATCATGCGGGAAGAGTGTTTGCATCTCACTTCATGGCTTCTGGACAACAGTAAATGATCTTTCTTGCACAACAGAGGACAGGGACAAGTATAAATCGAAGCTGTTGCTGTGCGTGAGAAAGCGAGCACTCCAACACGATCGATGGACATAACGGCTAACAAAGCACCGCGGTGGTTTGAAAAGAGTCGTTAGCGTCGATAAAGCGCCAATACGATGCGTTTGCATTCGACACTGCAATAATAGCACTTGTGTGTGGGTGCATGCAGCGCGTGCAGTCGGCGGAACATGTGGACGTGAAAAGCGGTGAGCGTGGCCTTGTGGTCTAGTGGTATGATTCTCGCTTAGGGTGCGAGAGGTCCCGGATTCGATCTCCGGCCAGGCCCATCCCGTCGCCGATCATGCGGGGAGAGTGTTTGCATCTCACTTCACGGCTTCTGGAAAACAGTAAATGATCTTTCTTGCACAACAGAGGAACGGGACAAGTTTAAATCGAAGCTGTTGCTGTGCGCGAGGAAGCGAGCACTCTAACACGATCGATGGACGTAACTGCTTACAAAAGCACCGCAATGTTTCGACATAAGTCGTCAGCGTCGAAAAAGTGACAATACGACGCGTTCGCATTCGACACTGCAATAATAGCACGTGTGTGTGGGTGCATGCAGCCCGTGCAGTCGGCGGATCAGGTGGACGTGAAAAGCGGTGAGCGTGGCCTTGTGGTCTAGTGGTATGATTCTCGCTTAGGGTGCGAGAGGTCCCGGATTTGATCTCCGGCAAGGCCCAGCCCGTCACCGATCATGCGGGAAGAGTGTTTGCATCTCACTTCATGGCTTCTGGACAACAGTAAATGATCTTTCTTGCACAACAGAGGACCGGGACAAGTTTAAATCGAAGCTGTTGCTGTGCGCGAGAGAAGCGAGCACTCTAACACGATCGATGGACGTAACGGCTAACAAAGCACCGCGGTGGTTTGAAAATAAGTCGTCAGCGTCGAAAAATTGACAATACGATGCGTTCGCATTCGACACTGCAATAATAGCACTTGTGTGTGGGTGCATGCAGCGCGTGCAGTCGGCGGAACATGTGGACGTGAAAAGCGGTGAGCGTGGCCTTGTGGTCTAGTGGTATGATTATCGCTTAGGGGGGAGAGGTCCCGGATTCGATCTCCGGCAAGGCCCAGCCTGTCACCGATCATGCGGGAAGAGTGTTTGCATCTCACTTCATGGCTTCTGGACAACAGTAAATGATCTTTCTTGCACAACAGAGGACCGATACAAGTATAAATCGAAGCTGTTGCTATGTGCGAGAAAGCGAGCACTTTAACACGATCGATGGACGTAACGGCTAACAAAGCACCGCAATGGTTTGAAAATAAGTCGTCAGCGTCGATAAAGTGCCAATACGACGCGTTTGCATTCGACACTGCAATAATAGCACTTGTGTGTGGGTGCATGCAGCGCGTGCAGTCGGCGGAACATGTGGACGTGAAAAGCGGTGAGCGTGGCCTTGTGGTCTAGTGGTATGATTCTCGCTTAGGGTGCGAGAGGTCCCGGATTCGATCTCCGGCAAGGCCCAGCCCGTCACCGATCATGCGGGAAGAAAGTGTGTTTTCATCTAACTTGTGGCTTCTGGAACAACAGCAAATGATCTTTCTTGCACAACAGAGGACCGGGACAAGTTTAAATCGAAGCTGTTGCTGTGCGCGAGGAAGCGAGCACTCCAGCAAAGATCGATGGACGTAACGGCTGACAAAGCACCGCAATGGTTTGAAAGAGTCGTCAGTGTCAGGTAACGTGCCAATACGATGCGTTCGCATTCGACACTGCAATAATCGCACCAATGTGTTATGCACGCAGCTCATGCAATCGCTGGAACATGAGGACGTGAAAAGCGGTGAGAGTGTCCTTGTGGTCTAGTGGTATGGATTCTCGCTTAGGTGCGAGAGGTCCCGTACTCGATCTACCGGCAAATGGCCCAGCCTGTCACCGATCATGCAAGAAGTTAATTTGCATCTCGCTTATGGCTTCTAGGCAACAGCAAATGATCTTTCTTGCACAACAGAGACCGAAACAAGTATTAATCGGAGCTGTTTCTGTGCGCGAGGAAGCGAGCACTCCAACAAGATCGATGGACGTAACGGCTAACAAAGCACCGCAATGGTTTGAAAAGAGTCGTCAGCGTCAGTAACGTGCCAGTCGATGCGTTCGCATTCGACACTGCAATAATAGCACTTGTGTGTGGGTGCACGCAGCTCGTGCAGTCGGCGGAACGTATGGACGTGAAAGCGGTGAGCGTGGCCTTCGTGGTCTGGTGTTATGATTCTCGCTTAGGGTGCAGAGGTCCAGACCGATCTCAGCAAGGCCTGGCCAATCGTCCCATGCAAGGAAGAGTATTTGCATCTCGCTTTATGGCTTCTAAACAACGGCAAATGATCTCTTTCTTGCACAACAGAGGAACAGGACAAGTTTAAACAAAGCTGTTGCTGTGCGAAAGCGAGCACTCGAACAAGATCGATGGACGTAACGAAGCATACAAGCGCGCAATGGTTTGAAAAGAGTGTGGCACGTCAGTAACGTGCCAAATACGTGCGTTTCGCATTTGTTACTGCAATAATAGCACGAGTGTGTGGGTACTTTTGCCCAGCTCGTGCAGTCAGCCAGATTTGCAAGGGACGCTGGCCGTTGCAGCGTGACGCCTTAAAGATTAATGGTATGATTCTCGCTTAGGGTGCGAGAGTCCCAGATTCGATCTCCAGCCAGACCATTGTCCCTATGATCATGCGGAAATGTTTTGCATCTCGCTGTAAGCTTCTCAAGCAACATGAATGATCTTTTCACGCACAACGGAAGAGACCGGACAAGTTCAATCGAGCTGTTGCCAATGCGCGCGAAGAAGCGAGCGCTCTAACAAAGATCGATGGACATAGCAGCCTTTACAAAGCACACCGCAATCTCCACCTCAAACGCTAAGTCGTCAACGTCGAAAAAGTGACAATGTGATCACATTCGCATTATTTTACCTGCAATAATAGCACACACACACACACACGTGTGTGGGTGTAACCGCGTGCAATCAAAGCGCTGAACATCGGGACATTGACCGTTAGCGTGGCGTATGGTCGCGATTGGATGATTACTAACTTAGGGTGAGAGTCCGGACTCGATCTCCCAATAGGCCAGCCCATCACCAGTCATGCAGGAAGAAATCTTGCATCTCTTTACGCTACTGATTTTCGTAGCGAAATGATCTTTCTTGCACAACGAGACCAGGACAGTTTAAATCGAGCTATTGCTGCCCCGAGGGAAACCAACACTCCAACACGATCGTGGAATAACATCAACAAGCGCACTGCATTGAACAAGAGTCGTCATCGTCAGTAACGTGCCAATACGATGCGTTCGCATTCGACACTGCAATAATAGCACTTGTGTGTGTGGTGCACGCAGCTCGTGCAGTCGGCGGAACATGAG